CCTTTTTGCTTTCTGCGAAAACAAACAAGCTTTTGTGAAGCCTATTTGAATGCTAACTAAATAAAACACTTGGGTCACCGTACAGAAATAGCGATGGGGCTAGTGCCAGGCTAACCCGAGGGGCCCTATCTAGCAATAATGAGGATGTCTTCTCGTCCGATCCTTGTATGACAAATAACTATATGGGAAAATCTGCAGTAGAAAATGAGTTAATTGAGGCGATGGTCTACGCATGTTGTTCACTGCGGAGCTAGAATAGCTGGGGTCCCTCTGAATGGTCCCCGTATGGTGCAAAGTGGCACTCGCTTGAAATACATTGACCCAACAAAAGGTTTTGTTTGTTTAGCCTTGTTGTTTATTACTTGTATTGCTTATTACATCTGTGTACAAACAGTTGACAATCATGTGTGTGTACATTTATTTGTGTGTGGAGGCGGGAGAGGTGGTGTGCTGAACGTTTACCATGGTTCACAGGGAAAGGCTTTGTTCGGACAACACGGATGATTAGAGCAGACTCCTCCTGAGTGAGAACGACAAACAGGGCGCCTCTCTTTCTGTGCGCTTGTTTATGTTGAAATGACAAAGAAACTCATTTGTAGGTCAGAGGTCCAGGAATCATTTTAACACGCACATGTACACAAAGCTTCATCACAAGCACAGGCCTGACCTTTACCCCTGAAAGAGATAGAACATGGATGAAACTTTTCAGTAAATGTATTTAAAACATTTGATTTCATTAACATCAAGAATCGTTTGGTGGGGTTTAAGCAGCCACTTATTTCATTGACGAGTAATCTTTTGATTATTCTCTCGATTACTCATTTAGTTGTTTTGGTCTCTTATACAGTAACGGGCCGTCCACACTACAGTTTCGACAGCTTCAAAAGCGGTTTCCAACGTGACGTCACGTTGCCTCGCTTTTCACCGAACTGAATTGTGGGTAGCATAGCGGCCCGTCTCCGGCGTCAGAAGTTGAACAATGTTCAACTTCTGACGCCGGAGTAGCCAGCGCCAGCCAATCAAATCCCATTTCTGAAAATCTGACAGCTCAAGCCGTAGCCAATCAAACCGCGTCTAAGCTGGGAGATATCCCGCTGTTCATTTCTATATTTCAAAAAAAGATGGAGGAGAAACTAATTATCGCCGTAGCAAATCACCCGGTTTTGTATGAGGAACCAGGCATGGAGGGAGGTGGCAGAGACAGTGGGTGAAACTGGTAGGTTTTCGCCTGTTTGGGGAGTTTATATATATATATATATATTGCTCGCATAAAATCCCCGGGGTTTTTTGCTTTGTATGTCGGGGGCGGGAGATTCATGTGATTGGTTGTTGGTCGCGTTGCTCGAATAAAATCCCCAAGCTTCAGACACGCCCAGCTCCAAGCTTTTTTTGAAGCTGTAGTGTGGACGCTCCGTAAGTTTCAAAATGGTTGTCAGTGATTCTCAAGACCAAATGGAGGAGAATTTAGGCCATATTTAGAATTCTGACATTTGTAGTCTTAGAATTCTGAGGATTCAATTTTCATTCAATTTTTTTTTACTTTTTGCTTGGATATCAAAAAAAAATGTGGCCCTAATCCTCTACCGTATACCAAGTTTACAGCCTCAAATGTCTTCTTCCATCCACAACTTCAAATGATTCAGTTAACTGTCAAATCTAAGGGGAAATATTCACATTTGAAGAGGCTGGAATAAGAACATGTTGACTTTTTTCCCCTTAGATTGGTGCACAGAAATGTGCTTCAGTCTACGCTCATTCGTTTGTCATAACCTGTTTCTCCGATCCGTTGTTAACAATTTATGTTTTCTATTCAGGACATGGCTGGGACACCTTGACAAGGTTGTTGCCTAGCCTCAATATTGTATTATGAATCCACATACAGTATGAGCTGGATTTGAGTGACTCAATAAATATAATCAAATCAAACCTAACCCTTGGCTTTAACCTTGGCTTTTTCAAATTTAAACTAAGAGCCCAACACAAAGTAGTTACTTCTAATGTCCAACAAACAAGTCCTCACAAGTATAGTGACACAATTACACAAACACACACCAGTGAAGCACCAGCATGTCTGTCCCGACCACACCCTTTCTTCTTCCCCCTGCTGCCGTCCCGTTGGGTGGTGTTCAGTTTCCTCCCGCAATCTCAAAAACTGCCCGGTACCAAAGATGTCATTGGCTATCTCAGCAATTCCATCGCCACCTCATTGGTCACCGGGGATGCCAGGACACCCGTGATAGGTCGGAGATGCACTATACTGGTTTCAGGGTATTGATAACTGGCAGAGGGGCTTATCATGGGGCAAGGTGGTTCTATACAGAGCATATTGATCAGAAAGGACTCACAAGAAGAGGTTTTAATCAAGAGGAGATCAGATATCGAGCACAAATGTAGAAGTCATTTGGTTGAATGTTTTTTAAAATGTTGTCATGGCCTCGCCAACTTGTATAGAAAAAATCTTGTTTAGTTTTCTGGCTTTGTTTGCAATTTACTGCAAAAAAAAAAAAAAAAAGAGTTTACCTTATTTAAGATGGTTTATCTTAATATAGCCTAAAACACATTTTCAAACACCAGCATAGAAAAAGGCAATGGTGCATGACATGACATTTCTTCAAAACCACTGCTAGTTTTAGTTGTCAACTTGACATTAAAATGTAAATAGAAAAAGAAAGTAGTAGGTTAAACACTAGCAATCAACTTGTGTGCCTTTTCTGGGATGCTTTACCTTCACACTATCACAGTAACAGCGCAGTGTTAGTGTGTTTCTATGGAAACATAGTGTTAAGAGTAACATTGGCCAACGGTTTTCTTGTTGAGTTTGAGCTTTGTTTTCTAAAGTAGTCAAAAATAAAACGTGTGCGTCTCTTTTTTTTCACAACTTCTATAGTACTGTGTTAAGTTAATCACAGCACGCCATATTCCAGTTACAAGGCTTAAAAGTTGGCAAATACTTAATTTTCGTTTTTCCCTCTAATGTTGAGTTGTGCTACTGCTTGTGCGTAAGCTGCTGTGTTGTTTGCTTGTTTTGGACAAATAATCTGATTAGACTAATGCTCCGGTTTTTGCACGTCAATGCAGGGATATTGGGATTTACTGTGTTGGCTCTAAAGTGTCCATGTTTCAACAGCTATACTAGCCTGTTAAACATGTATCATTATTTGTGACACAAATGTTTTTAACTTAGGAAACACGTACATGCACAATTTGGATTAAAATAAACAACTCATTTTGATTATTTTGACTGATATTGCTATATTTTTCACAATATTAAAGGCTTTATCTATGATAAAGTGTGATTTTATGAGAGGATCCGTAATAATTAAGTCTTACAATTAGAATACCATTTTTAGGCCTGGATATCACTGCAGCTCAACAATACTTCATTCAAAATGGTATACACATATATACACTTAAAGGTGGGGTAGGTAATTTTGGAGAAACCAGCTCGAGTGCGCTAGAATTTGAACAAATCTGCCACTTCCTTACCGAGCTCCTCCTCCAACACACACGAACGCGCACATGACCAATGAGGGCACGAGATAAGTTTGTGCACAGATGGAAGACTGACAGGCAGGTAGGCCATCCAGTTATTTTAGCCGGGCCGGCTAAAATGATTGCTCGTGCTTTTTACAGTACTACGGCTTCCACTGATGAAATTTTTTATGGATTTTTTGTCAAAACACTTAAAATATTCATTGCTATCGGGATGTTAAGATCATTCCATGGAATATAACAAAACGTGTTACTTACCTACCCCACCTTTAAACAAATAATTCACTTTCTGCAATTTGAATATCACAATAGTCCATATAAGGATTTCCATACATTTTAGTTTTATGTGCAGCCCTAGCTTCTGTAAAATAACTTTTTGTTTACAGTGCAGTTGTTGTGCTTATACCAGTGACCTTTAAGGGTCTAACCCTGTCTGTGTGTAGAGTGTGAAAGATACAGAGTGTGTATTTATTTGGCAGTCCTTTCAAATATGTGTTGACACCAAGAATCCATCTTATTCAACATCACACACAACTTAGCTTCCTCTGTAAAAGAAACACACTTACATACAGTACAATGTCAGCATTGCACTTAAAGTAAACACAATGTGCTTGTTCACACACACACACACACACACACACACACAGTGGAAACACACACACACACACACACACAGTGGAAACACACACACACACACACACTGTACAGTAAAAACTGTATGAGTGTCAGCAAATTTTGTTTCTGCTCCCTGCTGCCATGTTTCATCATTCTACCCGTGTGTGTGTGTGTGTGTGTGTGTGTGTGTGTGTGTGTGTGTGTGTGTGTGTGTGTGTGTGTGTGTGTGTGTGTGTGTGTGTGTGTGTGTGTGTGTGTGTGTGTGTGTGTGTGTGTGTGTGTGTGTGTGTGTGTGTGTGTGTGTGTGTGTGTGTGTGTGTGTGTGTGTGTGTGTGTGTGTGTGTGTGTGTGTGTGTGTGTGTGTGTGTGTGTGTGTGTGTGTGTGTGTAGTTTATCACATTACATTTTGCCCCTGCTTCTCTGAGGATCTTCTCTGACACAGTTTAAGGTTTTTGTGTTTCTTGCTAATGCTCTTACCCAATGTGTACAACTGTAAAACAGGCTTAAGGCCGTAGTTTGCCAACAACCAAAATGAAGCGTAATGAGTGCAGTAGTCAAGGCTACAGCTGATGTGTTTGGATCAGAGGGAGGACAGGGTGTTTTGGCAGCTATCAAAATATATTAAAAATGTTTTGGCCTTGAATGTATTATATAATCCTACTATAAATAGAGCGAAAACAACATGAATGTACTTCAATAACTCCCCAGGACTCCATCTCAACCCAACACTGTCATAATAATTCAATTATTTTCCTGCCAAGTTGAACTCAAAAGCCCTCAGAGATAGAAATCTGCTGTTGGGGTCAAAATGTTCATGTCCTATTTACATAGTTATTTGCTTCATGTTCCTAACAAACTCCATCTTTATGTGCTTGTTTCCTCTCTTCCTATAGTGGACGTGAGCTCAGCATCACTGCCCATGCAGGTGCCCCCCGGCTCCTCAGCCATCCTTCCCATGGATCTGCGCGTAGTGGACCACCACCCCCACCTCCACCAACACCACCACCACCACCACCAGCAGCCCTCTTTCGGCCTGGTTCCCCAGCCCCATCCTACAGCGCCCGTCTCCACAGCGTGTCCCACGTCCTTGGAGCCAGGCCGCGGGCCAGTCATCAGTAAGTGGGGACCATCTCTGACTGTGAGGTCTTGTGGCTAAAAGTTGTATCTGGATATTTTTAGCTGTGAAATGTATATATTCAAAAGGCTGAAAAAGACTATTATACAGCCATTTTAACACCTAGAAAACTCTGTAACTTAAATCACAGTCCCTGTTTTGCTGTATCTCGATTTGGATACTTACACTGCCATGTCGTACACTTTGAACACTTTTGAACTGCGTAAATTCCTACCATAGTAGTTTTTTTCTAAAATTGCACATGGCTGCTGTGCCCTCACCAAAAGTGATTTACCGCTGTCGCTAACGGTGGCTTTTTTCCAACACCATGAGGTGCTACGTGTATTAAACATGGAAAAAGTGTAACTTAAACCTTAACTTTTATTTGTGTTGTGCTGTGCTGACTGCTGCTATCACTGCTTGTCGCGTGACTTTTGTTACGTAGCCAAGATAGCAGTAGTTGAGTGCGAGAAGTGTCTAGCTTTCCAGACTCTTTGACTATTTGGTCATCTTTCATGGCATTGTATCCATTTGTGCATGAGTGATGATTGTGCTTATCTGCCAGAAGTTGTCATGAATTTACTTTTTTCTCAAATTTTAAGTCACATTTTTAGATCTCTACAATTTTTAAGTATTTATTTAGTCATCCCCATCTGGAACACCAGCTGTGAAAACGTTAGCACCAGCTGAGCAAGGTTGGACTGTTTCTTCAGTGTTTTGAACAGTCTTAAACACCGGGTCAAGGAGAAGAAGAGCACTGATGATAATTTGACTCCCGGTAAAAATGTCCAGAACGCCTGGATCTTTAGTTATCAGAGAAACACACTAAGCAAATGTTAGTGCCAACTGAATTTGCTGCCCCTCTTGGAAGACTGCCTAGCAATGTTCGAGAATGAACGTGAAACTGCTTTCATTTAGGTGGTTTTACTGAGTTTAATGGCCTTGTCCACTGATTTTAGAGGGAAGAAGACCTCTATTGATAACTTGGCTCCCAGTAAAAACCTAATTTACGATGAACAATGAAGGAAACCTAACCAGAAGAAGCTAACTGTAATGATGGAAATAGAGGTGAAGACAACATCTCCCTCTCTAATGTCCTAAATGATTCTACAGACCACCAGGAGCAGCAGCTGCAGCAGGAGCTGGTGACGCTCAAACACAAGCAGCAGCTCCAGAGACAGATCCTGATCGCTGAGTTCCAGAGGCAACATGAGCAGCTGTCGCGCCAACATGAAGTCCAGCTGCAGGAACATATCCAGGTGAGTGTACGAGGAGGGAGTCCTTCCTCAGCTTTATCTACTGCAGGACTGTACTCAGCAGAAATTCTGAAGGACAGGGTGAACCATGTGTATTTTAAGTGGAAACGCAGGTTGTGGAAGTATTTTGCTGCTTAGTCATCCCCATGGGAACCGTGTGTGAAATGTGTACTTGACTCACTTTGCTAAAAAGCTTCCCTTATTGTTGCCATGGCCAGAAAGTCAGCTAATGATTACGATCAATCGAAGATGGGAATAACTCTGATGTTTTTTCTTCATCCCTCTGGTTAGCATTTTGGTCTTGGCTTGCTCATGTCATGTCCTTTACATTAGCTAGCTCTCACATTTCTGCTGATTTATGGCAACATCTTGTTACAACATTGGGTCTCATGCAGCAACACTCATAAACGTTTCTCAAATGTTCTCTTAAGTCAAAGCAAACCAAACATTCTCAACCATCCAAAATCCACATAGATCATAACTTGTAGGCGTTTGGTTAATCGCTAATGATATAAAGTCAGCGCCGATTGGTTATCTGGCCGGCTCTGTTGTGATTGATCAGCCGCTAAGAGATGTCTCGCCTTTTAGCCTATCACGTATTTGTGTTGGAGTACTAGCCAATATACATTTGTTACATGGGGATGTCATGTGAGAGAAGTAAACAAAGACCAATGGAGGTATTTCAGGCAGGTGGGAGAGAAAACTCCATCTGGAGGGAACTTTGGGATTATAGCCTTTGCAGACCATTTACATGCACAGAAAGACGTATAACACACTATAGGAAAGGGATAACACCAAAAAGCAGAATATGGCCTCTTTAAAGGGGACCTATCATACAAAATGCACTTGTGTACATCTTGTATACATCAATATGTGGCCCTGGTGTGTCAGGGAACTCACCAAGTGTCAGAAAATACAACCCTCTCTCTTTTCCTCCATACCCAAATCTCTAAAAACGGGACTGCAACGGATCTGATACAGACTGATACAGATTTGAAATATCTCTGTCAGAAACGGGGAGCTCCGCCTATATGGGCAACTCTCTACCTATCAGGGGAATGAGAGGTTGCGTGCATGGTAACAGCATGGTAACAGCATGGTAACAGCATGGTAACAGCATGGTAACAGCATGGTAACAGCATGGTAACAGCATGGTAACAGCATGGTAACATGACGCTCGTGCCTCAGCTGCAGCTCATTTGCCACAGAATCAGCCCTTGTGAAGACAGGGCTGGAATAGAGCAAATAGAGCGAAATGAGGCATGGCTAAAATGCATGATCTGTTTGGTATTTTGAAAAAAAACTTCACAGACATGTTTTATATAGGTATGGCCCTACAATACATTGTTCAAATATAGCATGATAGGTCCACTTTAAACAAACCAGTAGTGGCATTACAGTCCAATATCATGCTCCAAGTTATCGTTTAACATTGGTATTAGTGGACCCAATCCTATTCCTACTCTATATTTTACAAATAACTCTGAATCCATTCATTATAATGACTCATAAACACATAATAATCCAAATGTGTTTATATGACCGTTACGTTGTTCAATGTTCAACCTGTTCTTTGCATCTGAAAAACATGTTTTCCTACTAACTTGGTAAGAATGATCCCGAAGACTTTGGTAAATCCCAGAAATCAATGAGAACTAAAACAGTAGAAACAAATCATGGATAACATAAACAGTAATAAGAAGGCATGTGTTTGTAAATGGCTTTCTGCATGAAGCCCAAAGTCTTCCAGTTTTGATAACTTTGCTCATCCTCTGTATAGTCCTTTACCCATCTTCTCTGTCTCCTTGTACTTTGTCCCCTTCTATAGTCTTGTGTCTCTCTCCACCAGCACCAACAGGACCTCCTGGCCCTTAAGCACCAACAGGAGCTGCTGGAGCACCAGAGGAAGATGGAGCAGCAGCGTCACGAGCAGGAGATAGAGAAGAAGCAGCGGGAACACAAACTCCTGCAGCTGAAAAACAAGGAGAGGGGACAGGAAAGTAAGTAACTGAATCTAAAAGTTGAACTACGATGGGATTAAAAGGTTTTGAGTTGGCTAAAAGCAGTAGTTTACCAAGAGGACGTTTTACAGAATCAAATATAAAGTGACCAGTTATGACTTTTTTCCCCTATCACTTGGGTTCAAGCTGGAAATAAAGCAGTCATGTTTGACCCATTATAAATTCCCTTTCCATCTCTTGAATGCTGCCAACATCTGCTGTAACTGTGCTCATATTATCACAGCAGGTGTCACAGAGACTTGGCCTCTCTGTCTCAGCACCTGTCCCAGTCAGAGCAGCCTGACCTTGCACACTTACCGCGGGGAGTATCAGAACAACAGGGGAAAAACGGTTTCCAGCAAGACGTTCAAGTGGCACACATGTCCTGTCCTCGTACAATATGTGTCATTTCGTTCAGGAAACAAAATAGCTTATTGGGTTTCAAAGTCAGGCACATGAACCAGGAGTCAACAACTTGAGAGTTAAAAGAAGCCCCTAAAATAGAACCATGATATCAAAAGTAGTTTTTCTTCAGCAAGCAATTACACTATGACATTTGCTACACATAGTGAGAAACACAAGCTGTCAGATGACCAGACTTCTTTCAACAAACCAATAGTTTAGCCAGATTGTGTAAATCACTTTTTGGATATAATATTGAAAAACTGTGTATTCACAAATATAGCAAATGTTGTTGCCACAACCCCAGACCTCAGTGAATATTTTGTTGTGTAAAAGCGATCATGACCAAAAGAACTAAGTAATTCTCTGTTATTTAACTTTAGCATTTGATACTGATAGTCCCTTTGCTGTCAGGAGTCACACTGATCCTGCTGCATAGTGCTCTCATTTTGACTGACAAAATATTAATGTTCAAATAATCAGCCGTGACAAAATTCCAAAACGGTTCAGGCAGGAGCTAATTGATGTAGCCGATCTTCAAGCTGGGTCGAGCCAATTGATTTTCTTTCTCCTGTAATTGTTCTTTTACTGGATACATACTGAAGAAGGCTACATAAGAGACTAATCGCTATATGTTAAACACATTATATTGGCTAGCTGTGGAAAGGTGTAATTTAAATCAACTTGTCCTACCAAATGTGTTACTACTGTACAGTAAGTAGCTGTATCCTCTTAATAAAGGACTTACAAACGTGCTTTAAATGGAGATTGAACTCCTCTTAATGTAATAATAATAGTTATAAAGTTGACATCCCTGCAATAAAAAGAGAGATATTTTTGTTGTTAAAGTAGTGCAGTTATTTAGTCAATAAACCGTTTTTGATTGTGAAATAATGGGATTAAAATGCTCTGGTGGTGTTATTGGGACAGGCAATGTGCTTTTTCAACAGCATAAATCCATTTAAATATACTTAATGGTATACCCACCACAATCATTTCCTGCCAGTGAAGCTCTTCTCCGCAACCATTCTGTGCTCTGCAAAGTGAGCCTGCAGTTTGACGTCCATGGAAAGAGCATTGGGTTGTAAACAGAGGAAGCTTTGTTAAGTACTGCTATAAATTGCATGGAAGGCAGTCTCATAAAAGCCAATTTCCTCCAGTGGCAATGCGGACATATTGAGATGTCAGCACTTCGAGCTGCACCATGATTCAGAGAGCATATATTAGCAGTTGTCGCGTACACATACTATATTTACCACTTTCTCCCTCAAGCCTGCCACATCACCTGTTATTCCTCCCACTGTCACACTCATAGATAAACACACATGTATTCTCAGAACACCTCTTATTTCAGACTCTTTATTACACTCACTTCTTCTCTCTGTTTCGCTTTCACATCTCCTCCCTTGACAATTTGTTTGTTGCTGTGAAACGAGGGTGGTAATTGAGAAGGGACCGCGAGCTGATTGAAACTTCTTCAAAGCAAGTCACAGTCACTGTGGACTTTAAGGGAAGACTTCTGCATGCAGCTACAAACTCCATTATCTGTCCAAATATGGATGGATGTTGTTATAATCTTTACGTTAGTGTCCCAGATTGGATACAAAGGCACCAAAGCCCAAATGTCTCAAGAAATGTCATACTCAAATGTTTTTTTTATCAGGTGATAAATAAAAAAAGTATACTTCCCTTTGTTAACTGAGTTGCCGATGTCTTTCTGTGTTTCCTCTCAGGTGCAGTTGCTAGTACAGAGGTGAAGATGCGACTTCAGGAGTTTGTCCTGAACAAAAAGAAAGCCCTGGCTCAGCGCAGCCTGAACCACTGTATGCCCGGAGACCCGCGCTTTTGGTATGGGTAAGTGTCAAAGCCCCCCACCGCTGGAACACCCATGACTTGGGATTGTGACTGGTTGTGAATGAAGAATTGTTGCCATAACACTAACCCTCAACCTAAATCCACTCATCATGTCATCTTACAACCTGAAATAGGATATATTATGCAAATGTTCAGGTTAATATTTGTATCTTTTGCCTGTGACATGCCTCCATGCTTTAATGTTCAAAAAGCTCTTTATTTTCTCATACTGCCTGTGCTGCAGCACCTCTTTTCACCCTCTGTCTGAAACCAGAGCCCAGTCTGCTCTGATTGGTTAGCTGGCCGGCTCTGTTGTGATTGGTCAACCATTTAGAGATATCCCCTCCACATCCAGATATGTTGGAGCGTTAGCCAATAATAGCGCGAGTGTTACATAGTGCTGTTTTAAGTGAAGCATAATAGGGCCCTTTAAATAATAAAGGTGGATCCTTTCGTTTGCAACATAACATTATCTTTAGAAAGTCTGAACAACAACTCAGTTCATATCTATGGAATACTTTTAGACTTAAAAGGATACTTCAGCCTCAAGGTAATCATTTGTATAATAAACAATCACCATTTATTATGTTACATTCCTAAAGAAAACTGCATTTTCAAAAACTAGAGAAATTCTGGAATTTAAAAGAAACACATTTCTGCTAAAACACTTATCGCAGTTAAGTTCTCATCGCACGCACTAGTGTTTATAAGGAACTATTTCTTTTTTTAATGCATGTGTTTTGGGAAGTAATCAGCATAGGACGGAATACATTAGAATGGTGGTAGTTAAAGTAAAACAGGGCCATTTAGTTAAATTCATACTCCATTTTTGTGTTTTATTTTCATTGTGGAGGCATGCGAGAAAAACTTCACAATTCATGGTAACAAGGGGGATTAACTGATATACAGCTGGTCATTTTGTGCTTGTGATATTCCTTTAAAAATGATTGGCAAGCTCCTGTTCTTTTTTTTGTCTTATTCATACCATTTTTTTGTGATCTTTAAATGTGACTGTGATTATTCTTTTTCTGGTTTAAAAGAAAACATTTTGAAACCTTTTATTGCCGCTCTTTTAAATATCAGCCAGTATTATTATTTTGTTGATTTATTTATTAAGCCTTTTAGTTTTTGACATTCTTATTTAAGATAGAAAAAAATGTCAAACTGAGAAAATATCAAGAATAAAAAAGGCACAACAAAGAACAGCATAGCCTGGAATCTACCAAGAAACGGTGAAGGAAATACTTCCCCCCCCCGTCCATGTGTGTAGACAGTGATTGACAGCTGGCTCTCTTTGAGGTGTGTGTGTTTGAAGTGGGCTGAGAGAAAAGACAATGGCACCTCTCATGCTTATTAAATATTTAAAGAGGCTTTAAGCAGTCAAATATATCTGCCAAGGCAGGAGATGATAAAACAATTGTGCCATCAGCGAGAAAAAGGCTTTTCCATCAATGTCACCAGCGTCACCATTTCTTTCCATGTTTCTCTTCACTTCTTCCATACATGTACTTCCCTCTTTCCTCTCCTGAATCTCTTGCCTTCTCTGTTCATTTTTCACCTCCCTCTCAGAAGAAAGTCATCCTCTGTCCCTTTTCTCTGCTCTTTGTCTCTTTCTCCATTCCACCCACCTTGTTGTGCACTCTCTGTTAACGTGTTGACCTTGTGGAAGGAGCTGGAACACCTTTTGTGTACGTCTCAATGGAAGATCAGGTAAAGTACAGCCTGGTAAGCACACATATATACGGATTTATTCGATACGGGTTTCTTTTCTTTTATAGAAAAACCCAGCACAGCTCCTTGGACCAGAGCTCTCCTCCCCAAACTGCATTGTCAGCGTACTGCCACCCAATGCTGGGCACATACGACTCAAAAGACGACTTCCCTCTCCGCAAAACAGGTACACAATGCTGCCAAGGTTTTTTGTATTTGTCTGTGTTATTGTTACTTTCTTAAATCCATATTTTTCCATGTATTAAAACCAGCCACCATGTCTAGAGGGGAGTCATCATCTTCATTTCCCCTGCATTAGCAATTGAAATGACTTGTTGTGTTTCAGAGTCAGGCACATGGACCAGGAGTCAGCTACTGGAGGATTACAGGGAAGCCCTAAAATAGTGAACAATATGTGGTATCAAAAGTTATTTAATGAGGTCTTTTGAGGGTCTTTTTCTAATGTAAATGAGAGAGAGGGTATGCAAAGTCAAACTACATACAAATGAAAACCTAAAACCAGTTAAAGAAATTGGGATTCTTTAACATATCAGGGAAATGTTTGCTTTTCTGATGAAAGTTAGATAAAACATCTACTTTTATATCTGTGTGCCAGTTAGCTTAGCTTAGCATAAAGACAGGAAGCAGAACTTTTTTTTTTTTTAACCTGCTAGCACCCTTAAAGCTCACCTCACACATTACATCTGTTTTCTTCTAATTACTGCCAAAAAACCAAAGAGTATAAATGACAATCAGACCATTTCACAAGGGCTGTTAGCCAGACTATTTCTTTGCCAGGACCAGCTGTCAGGCAAGAAGTGGACTTGTTACACCCAAGAAACAGTCCTAAAATATCTCCAAACTAAATGTGTTTCTGGTTTTAAGGTCTTACCGTAAATTGATGTGGAAACTGTTATGACTTTCCTACTTCTATTAAGCCATTTGCTCCTTCGTGAGGTTTAGATATTCTGGTAAAACTAAATGTATTTCAAAACCAGTTGGCTATTCTCCTGTTTTTGATATTGACACGTCAAGAACACTCCATCACAGACTTAATATTCTACATCAAACCGTTTGACAAAATAACCCATAACTACTCTGCAAAGTGTCCTAGAAAGCCCTTAAAAGCCAAGTTCTTGCCTTTTGGATGCATCACACTGTTATTTATTTGTCCTTCTGTCCAAGTCAAGTATGGCCAGGCTGTGATTGTTCACTTAGCGTCAGCAGCTGCCTTGGCAGTATCACTGCCTGCTTTCACAGCTGGAGGCCGAGCTCTGTGTACTCTGCACTCCTGCACACCTGCCGCGAGCTGGAAGGAGGAAGGAGGATTTATACTGGCACACAGCGTCAGACGGCAGGATTCACTTTCAGGGACACTTGAATGTAGATCAGGAATTTCTAGGGATGTGTGTCAGTGGTGCTGAGAAATATTCACAAATTGTACAATTACCACCAAGTACAACACGTACACTAGAACTGCATATCATTGTGCATACATGAAGAAATAGAATTCAAGGTTTAATCCATGTATTCTTAGATTTGTCAGTTTCAAAACCAAAGAAAAAGAAAAAAAAAAGGTTTTCTGATAATGGTTTAACTGGAAAATGATTCCCTGTTTTTCTTTGTGTTTTTCTGTTGAGATATTGACACTAAACATTTTAAGAATGTAAAAATACGGATTGAGATTTGAATGCAGCGTTAATCTTTTTTACGTCAGTCGAGAGACAGAGAGGGAATTCTGACATGTGCACGCATCTGGCCCGGCTGTTGAGGAACTGTTGTGTCAACAGTGAGCAGCCATACTGCAGATCAGATTAGACTCGCAGACAGAGATGAACTGTGTTCAAGAGGAAGTGAGTGACTGTAGTCAGCACAGTTGTGCGCCGCCGTGACGATCAGAGCTGTCACACATGACGTTTTTGCCTGCGGTGACCCATTTTTCTAATGTAGTCGTGTACATTCTAAATGTACGTTCCGAGGCGAGACCAGGCGCACACACAGTATTTTACAACAGGGTTCATTGTCCAAGTCTAAGAGGCTCTGTGATAATTGAGAAACACAGAGGGCCACTTTGAATGCTGAGGCAGGAAGTCTGTTAGGCCTTCATGACAGAAGCAGAATTGTCATGCTGACCCCTTTTGTCCCTTACTCTTTCACAAACTGTTACACACACACATTCCCATAACACACTGAAAATGTAGACCCTGCAGGATATCCACATACAATATAGCATTTCCATGTTCTTTATCTGATCCAGAGCACAAGGATCTATCAGACTCAAGAAACACTACAACATCTTGGCTCCAATTTCATAGAAGTACACTTGGAGAGCACAGACCTTATATAAGACCTCTAATAGAGTGCCACAGTGACGCGTCCTAAAACCGGAAGTAAGTTAGCATTTTACCACTTCCAGTTCCTTCGATAAAAAGCAATGCAATTTCTCCATAGGATTTTGGAAAATAGCTCCAAATAAGGTCTGTGTTTGACACAAATTGAAGACAGATCACGTTTTGTTCTAAGACATTAAATACATCAGCAGTGACTCCACTGGTGATTTATGAAGAGTTAACGTGTCTGAAAAACGATGGTTGTTACCAAGTGGCTGAATAGGACTACAGAAGTTGTCCAGGCCGTTTTACGTCATTACACCGAACACGTAAAACACTCCTGCTAAGTTTGTTTGCCCTGTTCTGCTTGAAAGCAAGTACCTGCCTCCTGCAAACTGTTAAAACAAACACTTCAACTTGTACCATTTACAATCTGTATGTTTGAATATGGATCTTAAGTTGGCGTGACGTTGAAGCAGCGACCCTGCTGTAGTTTGCTTATAGCATAACGTTAGCATTTTGCTTCTGGCGACTAGATTTATGATTAGAAAATTATAAAAGTAGGATAGACATGTGGATATTATCCGGCTGAACAAAATGTGATCCGTCTCTTAAATGTGTTTCAACCACAGACCTTATTTCTAGCTATTTTCCTAAATCCTATGGAGAAATTGCATTGTATCTTGCAAGGTTAAAGAAAGTGACAAAATATGTGTGTATGCCCTTTCTTTTAGATACTCTCTAAAATGTATTGGATTCTTCTGTGGTGAATGCTACACTCTTCCTCCAAGTTCATCTCCATGGCTATCAATTGTTCCTGTATTCCGGATGACAAACTGACGAATAAAACAAATCAAAAACCTAACATAACATTTCTTTCTGAATTCGAAGACAAATGTCTTTCGGAAATAACTAGGGATTAGACCTTTTTAAACACAACATCCTTTTTAACCAATCATTTAAGTGTAAACAGATACAAAAATAAACTTTATATATGTATCCACCATACGTATCTATATGTTGGTACATGGTAAGTAAACTGCATTTCATGTTATATTTACCACTCAAAGCACTTTCACAACATTCACCCTTTCACATTTTTATACAAAGGCAGACACTTTTATACAAGCTGTCACCTGCTCATCAGGAGAGATGAACACTAACAATCCATGGGCTATGCCCTCCGGACAGACGTTCTGATTGGTGGACTACCGTGCTACCTCCTGAGCTCAGCCGCCCCTTTATGTATCTGTCTACCTATGTCCATCCAACCTGTCTATCTAATGCATCATCAACGTGATATTTCTGGGAAGCTCCACTGATGAGTTTCGGCAAACTACTCTATTGATTTCCATAAATCTCCCTCCCTTTCTGCCCTTACTTGGAAGAGCAGCACGGCTTCCCCCAGCATGAAGCCCGGGACTCCCATCTGTCAAAACAGATGAGCGCCTGATCAATATGTTTTGTATCAGAGAACCAGCTTCCTCCTCCTCTCCCGATTAAAATATTAAGCACCACTTACAGAGACGTTTAATCTGGTATTGATATGTCATAAGATGGGTAGCAGACGGGACTTCACTTTATAGTTTTAAAGTGTGAGAGTGGATCAGAGAGAACCCTTGAACCTCTTGAGCGCATATTTGAAATATGAGATAACATGTAGAGGTAAATCAGGCTTAGAGAAATGGCACTTTGTCTTTGTAGTTGGATGAATTATTTCAGGCCACTTTCGGAATCCAAGTTAGAATATCAAAAAATATACAATGCTACCTTGGTTTCAGGAGTGTATTATTTAATTTCGCTTGCTTCAAAAGCCACTGACAAAAGTGTATGTTAAGGGTTCGTTCAAAAACCATCCTGACACTCTTCACTAAAATGAGTCTTGTTGCTTGAAATCACGGCGTTGTATTCCTCCTTAGATTAACGGACGGCAGAGTTGAAATACCTGAAATGAAATCTACAGATAACATCATAATAGTTGATTATGATGCAATGTGATAGCCTTCCACAATATCCCTGTAAACATCAACTTGAAAATGTATGCTGTAGTTTTAGGAAATGTAAGCTTGTTATTTAGCTAATATGTTTTTATCATTTTGGCCAAACGTTAGCACAATCACTGGTGACTTTAGCACAATCACTGAGCTTGGCGCTCCGCTGCTCCATCTACTCAGAGGAAGAGCCCAGAGTAAGTTTTGCCACTCAGAGAGTTAGCCCTTCTGAATATTCGAATGGCAGATACTAAAAGTGCTCCAAGTTTACAAACCCACCCCAAATCAGTGTCCGAATGTGGCAGGAAGTTGGACATTCTTTGGTAAATGCTGTTTAGAATTGCAATTTTCTAGGCCGTCAATCTTGTAAGAAGACTAATAAGGCTTGTTGTTAACCTTCACCAATGGTTTCTACTAGAATGCATTAAAAAAAGGAACTGCACAAAGGCTCTGCAGTGAAGGGAACGGGGAGCTATGCCAGAGGAAAGAGAGGAGTGGGGATTTAAAGGGAGGGGAGGGGGGTAGATGGAGTCGAAGGAGGGAGAAAGGGCTGCAGTAAAACGCTAGCATCAGCAGTAAAACCAGTCTGGGCCCTCTGCAGAGAGTGTGTTCGCACGTGTGCACACTGGTGTGCTTTTGCCCAGTCGGCACTAACACCCTTCAAAGTCACTGCGTCCTGAGGCGAACACCCCATGGCGACCAGTGCCCAGCAAACACACACCTCCTTCCTTTACTGTCCTCCTAACCTCCCTCTAACCTTCCATTTATCCACTCCTCCTTTTACCTGTCCATTTCTTAATGACTCAGGACACACAAACACAACCTTGACCACCCCCCCTTCCTCTATTCCATTATCCTGGGGTGCCTTATCGTTCCTCCTCTGGCTTCCCACCTGATTGACCACCGTTTTTGCCACCTTTGCAGCCCCATTGTCTTCACAGTGAAGGCTAATAATGTTTCCTGTCACACCAGGGTAATATTTTTAAGCATAGCAAATGTTTGTTTATCATTTAGCACGTTCAACGGTGGCAATTCCAACAACAAGACCTTAATGGAATAAGCATAGTAAGAATCAGGGATGTATCAGAAACATTATCGAGTATACAATACATGTCTAAATATCTATACAGTCAAAACTAATTCAAATGGTACCATCATTCAAATTCCTCTTTAACTTTGTTAATTGTGGTTTTGTTCACAATCACCTAATATAAGCTGTATTTTCAGCCCCACGTATCATATGCTCTTCCAACACGCTTTCAAATGATGTTGAATTATTGGCTTCACAAACAACCACTCGTTTCTACAGCAAATGCCAACAATCACAAGATGTGCATGCATCAATTAAAGTTAAATTAAACACTGAATTATTTTTGCTACATTACTATAATTCCCAGTGTGATAGACTACAATTAAACTTGAGAGCACTATGCTGCTTTTCTCAAATGTCTCTTGTTTAGTTATTGCATAGCATTTGATCCTGACCCTCTCCACCTCCTCTTAACAAATACTTTGGAAGAGTGCCCTTCACTAAGGAGAATGTCTTTTTTAAATAATCGAGTTTGATAAGTTCAACAGCGTGTTCCCCTCAAAATTGAAAGTGCATTTGAAAAAGTACTTTGACATTATAAATTCACAATAGGTCATCTTATCCCCACCATCCAGGTGGTGTACTGAGTGCTTGAAGTAGAATACAACTCATCCTACCTTGATTAGCGTTCAAGGCTACTGTACATTAATGGTTTTTAATGACCCTGAATAAGACTTCTAACAATAAATCACTTCAGTACACAATGAAGAATCAATTGCTTCCCCTTGCCTCAACCAAAAAAGGCCAGCTCCTTCTCTGAGGCTAACGTAGCGTGGTCTTTTTGATAAAAGGTCGTGGGATGAGCATGGGGTCAACTGTTGGTTAACCATCCATCCCTCATCTAATTGAACGGAAGGAAGCCAGCAGAGGAGGGAATAAAGCAGCCCGTGTCTGGGGTAATCTGGCAGAGGGACACTAAAGCAAGATTGTCCAGAAGAGGTCCTCTCCCTGACCCGACCAGATTCCCAGAATATACTGAATGCTTGGCTCTTCTCTATTCTACCCGTTTGTGGCCAACACGTATGCATACAAACACACATGACAACAGGCAGTGGCAGTAATTGAAAGTGTCTGGAAACAAGCAGTGTTCCCTGGCAGAGTGTGGAGAGAGCATCATTAAGCGTGGGGTCAAGAAAGCTGCCAGTTGGCTGCGTCCACTCGCAGCGTTTCCCTCTGTCACTCGATGATGGCTAACCTCCACTCACGGATCTGTCGGCCAACACATACAGTGTGGCCTATAGGGACGAGCTCGTTAGCTCCACTACGTGCCACTGAACAAGCTCCCACTTGTAGGCCACAGCAATCTACCACGAAGCGCTGTGCCCCGACCGAGTGACACTTTAGAGAGAATCTGTAATTTACACATTTACAGGGCTAATTTTGGGTGTAACACATTCATATTCTTAGAATGGGTGGCCCCGTTAGGAATGTAATATGTAACCCTGCCATTGCTTAGCTCTGCTTAGTTATCTGCTAGAAATCCCTTGCGCTGACATTTGCGAATATCCGTTTTTTCGTGACGGAATTGGCATCTCAAAATGAAACGTGCAAATGAATGAATAGGTGTTTTAACAGTGGAATGTAGACAGACATGGCCAGGAAGCTTTAGGAGGGTGGCTGACTATCAGAGTCTGAGATTTAGATGGGAATTGGCTGTCAGCCGGCTGGCCTTCAACTTGGAGGGGAAAACCTTGGTAGGTGCATTTATAAGTGAAAAATAATGCTTGTATCAGTCCCATTCATCTGATATGATCTAAAATGTAATGGGTTCTTGCTTAGCCAATGCTTTATCAAGGTTTTATGAAAATAGGGCTTTTTCAGTTTTTTCCCATATTCATGCTAACAAACAAACCAACAAATCGTACTGAAAACATAACCTTTGTCGATGTTAAGAATGCCTCAACTTCTTTTTGTCCTACCCTTTACGGAAACGTCTTCACCTATGAAATGAATCCTCCATCTCTTTTTCCCGTCAGCCTCTGAGCCCAACCTCAAGCTTCGTTCCCGGCTAAAGCAGAAAGTGACAGAGCGCCGCAGCAGCCCGTTGCTCCGAAGGAAAGATGGTCCCATCACTACTGCCAAGAAGCGTTCCCTAGACGTGGCCGGTAAGCATTCTGGTTGCTGGATTCCTTCGGTTGCGAATCTGATCATCCCAGTACTATTGTAGACTAAAAAAGGGTTTTAATATCACCATTATTGCCAATATTAAGACTATCAATGACTGAATTTCAGAATTTGGACCTTTGATGGCTTATTCATTCCAAAAAGTGTCATATCAATGAAGATAAATACTGTCATGATTGATTTCAGGGAAGTTTTGGATGTAAGTAGTATAAATACACCCAAAAGGCTAATAAGATCAACAAATAACATTATTCCTATTTCATCTCAGAAAACTCAGCTTTTTAAAGGCCAGGATGTTAGAAAAATCTAATGTTTGTGCTGTGTGTTCCAGAGTCTGCATGCAACAGTGCACCCGGCTCAGGTCCCAGCTCCCCCAACAACAGCTCCAGTAACATCCCCAATGAGAACGGGGTCACCATCTCCAGTTGCCCAGGAGAGGTAACAAACATCACTGCCAGAGTGTGCATGTTTGTGTGAATGGGCCAGACAGTTTGACCGGACGAATCCCGAAGTAAATTGGCTATGTCTGTCTTTTTAATGGAGAACTCAAGCTCTGTGAGTTTGTCTGTGCATGTTTGTGTGTGTACAAACACTCTTAAGGCCCGTCCACACAGCGGCGTGCGTTGAAGCTTCCAACGCTTCTGCCCATTCACTTTGAATGGGGTGACGTCACTTTTAGCCGAACTGCATCGTGGGAAGCGACGCGGAGCGTTGCTGGCGTGGCTCGCTGCAAAAGTTGAGCAATGTTCAACTTTTGACGCCTCGGCAGAAGCGTCAGCCAATCAAACCGCTGCTTGTGTGTCAGGGGCGGGAGATTCATGTGATTGGTTGTTGGTCGAGTGTCAGACACGCCCGCCGGCAAGCGTCAACGCACGCCGCTGTGTGGACGGGCCGTTATAATGTGCTGTAATGCTGTGTGGTTGTGTGTTTTCAGGTCTCTCTGCTTCAGAGGTTGGCAGCACGAGATGGTTCAGTTAGCCATCTCTCGCTCTACACCTCCCCGTCTCTTCCCAACATCACCTTGGGACTGCCTGCTAGCTCTGTGAGTACATTCAATGCACAAAACAATACTTGCATTGTACAACATTACGGAAGCTCTGAGAGGCTAGTCAACAAATGTAGATAATCAATTTGATAATATTAATAGTTTTTGTTTCTGTGTTTTATTAAATAAAAGCAGAAAATAAAAAGTTTAGCAGGTGAATTTATTTCGCAGGATCAATTTCAACAGTTTGATGTATACAACTTGTGGACAAAATGGGTACTACAACAACAAATGCTTCTGACGAAAGAAAATATAGTGTCACCTGCCAGAAGTTATCATACAATATTATTATTAAAAACGTTAAAATAACTAAAAGTGTTCATTGTATAAAGCACACATTTTTTGTTAGCCTCTTGTGGCCGAAATGAGACCTTCAACAACAAACACTTATGTTCACAAATGTTCATGAGTCTAGAAAATGATGCTAGTTAACCTCCTTTTTCACCTTTAAGTCATAAACTCAAAAGAATAAAATGTAGTTCAGATATACAAAACATATCACCACAATATACTACTTTTCACTCCCGTCTCAAGGCTTCTGTAGAATCACTCACTGCACAAAATAATATTTTGTTTGCGAAACAGCTCGTATCAATTATTTTTGGCATGAAGGTGCCTCACATGTCCGCCTCTCTTTCTCCATCTCACTCCCATTCTGTCTCATTTGACCCTTCTTTGTTTCCGTCCATCTGCCTCTCTGCGTTTGCCTGGTCTTTGCTTCTCCCTCCTTGTGTCTCATTCTCTCTTTCTGTCCTTGTAGGTGGTGTCAGGACACCAAGATGGTGACAGTCGTCTGGCACTGCCTGCGTTACAGCAGAGCATTGGTCTGACCCCTCCATTCCTGCCCACTGCCCACCTGCCCTCCTACTTGGCATCCTCGGCTCTGGACAGGGAGGGGGCCGGAGGGGGCACGGCTGGTCACAACCCCCTCCTCCAACACATGGTGCTGCTGGAGCAGAGCCACAATCCAATGGGTCAGTATCCACTGCAACATTTATATTCTTAACTTCTTAGCTATCAGTGGCTGCTGTCACGTTTGTATTATTATGATATAATGATATACACTTCTCTGTGTTAACTATTATGAGGGATTTTGAAACTTAATTTGAATAATGAATGTACATACAATTAATCTTTGTAATATGTCAGTATAATTTAGCTTGATTAGCTCCTTCTTTTGTTAACAAGGCTGTAAAACTTCAAAAACAGTAACTTGGAACTTCTTAATGTTATCATGTGTTAAAAGATATTCTTAATTAGTTTGTTAGGTTTTTTTGTGTCAGTGTCTGTTTTTGTGCGGTGGTCTTCAGAATGTCTTGTCTAAAATGTAGATCTTTGTTTCGTGTTATCTTGTGTCTATTGAAAATGTAACTATTGAACTTAAAACATATATATATTCCTTAAGCAAAATTGATTGTTTATTATTTTGTATTATGTTAATAGGAGGACATAAAAGAACATGATTTTTTTCACAGATTATCAGTCTCAAGCAACATTCTCAAAATAAGTGACAAGTTGTTTTTATTCTTGTTACCAACCGTAGCTTTTTAGAACATGTATTGTTTTCAGAGTGAATAATGTTGAATAATGGAATCAATTACAGAAATTAGACTCAGATCATTACAAAACAGGTAATAATATTCTCCTGTGTTTACACACAGTGGTGTCTTGCTGGCCTCCAGCTAACGTCGCCTTCTGTCTCCAAACTTGCGCGGGGCCACCGCCCCCTCGGGAGGACCCAGTCGGCCCCCCTGCCCCAGCAGCAGTGTGGACAGGCCCAGGCCCTGCAGCAGCTGGTTGTCCAGCAGCAACACCAGCAGTTCCTGGAGAAACACAAACAACAGTTCCAACAGCAGCAGCACATCATCAACAAGGTGTGTGTGTGTGTGTGTGTGTGTGTGTGTGTGTGTGTGTGGTGTGGTGTGTGTGTGTGTGTGTGTGTGTGTGTGTGTGTGTGTGTGTGTGTGTGTGTGTGTGTGTGTGTGTGTGTGTGTGTGTGTGTGTGTGTGTGTGTGTGTGGTGTGTGTGTGTGGTGTGTGTGTGTGTGTGTGTGTGTGTGTGTTGTGTGTGTGTGTGTGTGTGTGTGTGTGTGTGTGTGTGTGTGTGTGTGTGTGTGTGTGTGTGTGTGTGGTGTGTGTGTGTGTGTGTGTGTGTGTGTGTGTGTGTGTTGTGTGTGTGTGTGTGTGTGTGTGTGTGTGTGTGTGTGTATTGGTTAATCTCTGTGAATCCTGTCTCTGCTACAAGAGCAGGATGAATCAGCGTGCAATCAACAAGTCTTCTAGCAAGTCTTTCTTGTCCGTTTTCGTCTATCCCTACTTCTCCCTGTCACCCTGGCAACTGTGCTGTAGAGGAAGCTGCCTCCATATACGGTCACGCAGGAAGTTTGCCTCGGTGCATCATGAGTAGAAGTGTGTGTTTGTGCGCACGAGGTGATGAGGGGATTTGCAGCTTTATAAGGTCATTGATGAGATGGTTATTTGTGTGAGCGTCAATATATATGTGTGTGTGTGTGTGTGTGTGTGTGTACGCATGTTGTAATTCCTGTAGGATTTAGCCCCATTATCTTGGTGTTGTTGGTGACTACCGCTAATTAAGTTCAGCTCAGGTGTAAAGCAGGTTATTTCACGACACATTAAATTGTGTTAATGCTTTTTTCCAGGCAACTAACTGACTAATGACTTTGCATTGTGGATTAAAAAATAGAAACTGTATTTGATTCACTATGCTTTTAATCACAATAACATGACATTTTTCATTGTTTTGGTAAAACAAGAAAACACCTCTCTGTTTAAAACACAAAACAAAATTGCGGTTAGAATGCACTGTTTATTATTCAGGATTTAATAAATCATAAAAGGGATTCTATAATTATTGTGAACATGCCATGCTTCAATGTTCTTGTGCGTGTGTGAAACAGGATTTATTCGCTAATTCAGTGTCTCCAATTACAGACCACTCAATGTAGGTCCATGTTAATTAAGACATTTGCAGCATGCATTCCAAATGGATAATAACAACTCAATACATGATTGCCTCCTGCCTGCTTCTGAAAGTGTTCTTATATTTAATTAAAATAAAAGTCCGGCTCACATGGTGGCTCAGTGGGGGGCCATTTATCCAACAAGTAGGTAGCAGGATTTATCCTGCTGGCCAGCTAATGTTGGCCAGCTTTCCTCTCACTGCTGTGGTTTTATCCCCGAATGCCATTAGTTTTTTATTCTTTATTCGGTGGATCAGCCCTTCGATGGATGGAGTTTTACTTATTTTGGTTACATAAATGAATGAAGGTGCGTTCCTCCCTTTGTGTGTGGCAAGCATGACAGCAAAACGTTTTTATAAAACAGTGAAAATGTTGTTTGTAAAAGGCTAAACGCTAGCAGATTATGATGAAGCTTTAAAGCTTCAATTTTCCGGCACAGCCCTAGCTTTAGGTGTTTAATTAACTTCAGTGACAAGTTCAAGTTGTTGATGTGGAAAGACTCAGAGGATGGTGGTAATTCAGCTAACTGGGGTCACTCGGAGTTCTGCAAAGCTTGTAAAGGTCAGTTCGCTGAAATCCTCTGCACCATTTTACATTTCTATTACTTTTAATGTCAAGTAAGAAACTCTGAACTCCAAAATGATTTTAGTCACTCACCTGAAATACCAAAGACTTTCATTTTGGGTGTTAGCCAGAGCCGTGGTTACAGTTTTTTTTCTTCCACCAAAATCAAGAAGAAAAACGCCTTGACGTGTGATTGTCTCTGGGATAAGTTTGGCAGTAAAACCTTTTCAATGAAGTGGTTGCCAACATGAATCCAAACCTTTTGTATTCCTTTATTCCAAACGCAGGAATAGGTGATTAAGCAAGAATAAACTTGAGCGAGAAGACGGTTGTGTAATATTGGCTCAAAGGCGCATTGTAACCAACTCAAATAATTGCCGTTATTTATGGGTGCAACAATGGTAAAATCACCAACAGCTACAAAACAGGATCCGACAGTTACCAAAATGCAGCCATCTCGAGAATTTTTTTTTTTTTTCCCACAGCAGCAAATATTCATCTCTCCGATATTTGGTCGCTCTGGCTTAATTATTCAGTTAGTTGTTGTGTTTTTACAATGTTGAATATTTCCATATCCATTGGACGTTTATACCAAACAGTCCCATTCTTACAAAATGTGATGAATGTAAAAGGGCATGTTGACACCAGACAGAGGGTGAAAATAGGTGCTGTAGCACAGGCAGTATGAGAACATTAAAGCATGTAAAGTTTAAACATGTCACAGTAGAGGCACTACATACTACTATGAACCTGCAGGTGAGCATAATAAGGGCCCCTTTAAGAAAAGTAAAAAATAATGCGTCTGTCTGCCCCTTCATTTTCCGACAACTTAATGGGTTCTCTCTTGACCTATTCTACACCCTTACATCCATTTTGAGTGAAATTGCACCAGTAGTTTTCCCCTCATACTGCTGAATAATCAAAAAAAACGAACAAACCCAAAAGAAAACATAACTTCCTTGATGGAAGTCCCAAGTTGGCCATGTTTCGTCTCTTAACTGCCTCTCAAACATCCTATCATGATGGAAAAAGTAGAATCACCCCTAAGAAATACTTCTTATTGCATAATCAGGTTTGGAAAAACAATAACTTTCTATTTAACACGTGGAAGTACGGCACTCCAGGCAGCAGCATGTCTCAGCAGAATGGATTTAATACCAGTTTATATTACAGAGATAAGGAGCATCATGGCTGCAATTAATACAAGTTCACATTCACAAACTATCCAGTGGATATCCTCCACATGAATCATCCTTTTCCTTTTTTTAGTCAAGTCAGCAATGAAAAGGGGCCCTCCCTGAGAAAATGCTGGCTTTAACGGTCTGACGTGTTGGCAGCAAAGAAAGGATTTTGTAACAACTCCAACTAGAGCCTGCTGCTGCTGCTTACCAAAAAGCACCTGCGATTTCAACTCAATTACATAACACTGTTGTGGAAGTGTGTGAGAAGCAAATCCAGAAAGAAAGTGACAAGAGTCAGCTAGTGTCAAGTTTTATCTGCACCTTTCAATTGATTCAACAGCAGTGTCTGTCCGTCCCCCCCTCCTTATGGTTCATATCCCAGCAACTATTTCTGCTGTTTAGAAAAAGAAAAGGTTGGAGGGAGAGAAAAGGGAGCAAAACAAGAGAGTGAGAGTCAGTGGAGGAGTGTTTTGAGTTTGTTTGGAGAAGAGGGACCGGGATGAGGCAAGAGCCCTCTCTCTGACGTCAATGGACTGTTCCCTGGGCAATATGCCAGCCGTGTGTGTGTGTGTGTGTGTGTGTGTGTGTGTGTGTGTGTGTGTGTGTGTGTGTGTGTGTGTGTGTGGTGTGTGTGTGTGTGTGTGTGTGTGTGTGTGTGTGTGTGTGTGTGTGTGTGTGTGTGTGTGTGTGTGTGTGTGTGTGTGTGTGTGTGTGTGTGTGTGTGTGTGTGTGTGTGTGTGTGTGTGTGTGTGTGTGTGTGTGTGTGTGTGTGTGTGTGTGTGTGTGTGTGTGTGTGTGTGTGTGTGTGTGTGTGTGTGTGTGTTCCAAGCACAAACAGTGGGCCACTCCAATCATGACCTACACATCAAGGTTGAGGTTCTTTGACGACAGGGAGCTGCCACAACAGAAATGATCCAGTCCGCAATTCTTCCTCTTTTTCTTTTGACTTCTGCTCACTTTTCTGCAGGCCTAAGCATGGTTCCTACCTGGATATGTATTTCTAACAGTGGCGAACCGTCAGGGCCTTCAAGGTATTCCGAGAATACCCAGGAACACTCAGATAAAACAAACAAAAAATCGATTTAATTATATAAATAAGATGTAATAAAATGTATATAAAATGAATAAATGAGAATGGTATCTGTGTTGTTGATCTGTAATATTACAGTGTTACGTTGATTTGTTTGTCCTTCTCGCACTACGCATTTCAGTGGTTTTGTGTTAGAAAAGAGAGCAACCAATCAGATCTCGTTCTGGGTCTCTGGGTAGAATATCCTTCAACCAAGGTATTCTACATCCTTGATCGAACGCACTGGCCGTTGCACTGAATGAGAGCGTACGTTTGGACTGAGTTTGAACAACCAATCATATATTGATTTGTAGCTAATGGGCGTATTCTTTCAGAGTTTCCCTCGGTTCCAGGGTATTCTAGAAGGCCCGCTAGTTAACTGGCTCGAGACAGAGGATTCTAGATGAATGCGACGAAGCAATTGCCGTCAAAATGCCGTTTTTAATGTTGAAATGACAAGTGCAACAGGTGAAGATGAAGTTGTTGCGGAATTGTTGAGTACCCTTTTCAAGACGATAATTCAGTGAAAAGACGGACACTATAATGCCGCGGGGGGGGGGGGGGGGGCGGCGGCGGCGGCGGCGGCGGCTGGGAGCGGGTGTGTATACAGAAGGTCCAGTTGTGATAGACACGGTTCGCCACTGATTTCTAATATAGTCATAGTTATTTCTTTAAATAAATATCAGCGCTCAGAGTACAGGTCTGGTTTAACTCCGTTAGTTCGCTTTTGTTTGGTTAACCTTTAGTTCTTTTGCATCGATGTTTTGTTCTCTCAGCTATTTTTGGAATGAAAAACATCTTCAGTGGAGCCGCTGTCCCGATGTTCTCTCGGTTAGGATTAGTTTATGGTTTTTGCATTAAAACACATCAGATACAAATAGTATTCAGTGCAGGAAGAGGCAGAAGATCCAGTGGACTTATTTAAAGCCTCCACCTTAATATCGTTACATAAAATGAATGTACAAATGATAATTGGATTGTAAAAGTGAAGGCAAACTAATAGCACCACAGATAATAAAAACAACAATAAAATAACAACTAAATGTTAAAAACAATCTATTTCTCATGTTGTTGTGACGATTTCTCCTTTAAAACAGTTGGGCTTGAAGGTTTTATTGCAACGCTGTTGTATTTGACTGCATTAGTTCTAGATGTACCAAAGAAACTGGAAAGAGTGTTTTTATTTTTAATTGTATTTTTAACTTCTAAAAAATAGATGCGAGTTGTAGCAGACAACGTTCTTGTTGCTCTGCGTTGTTAATGAGTGAGACACACCGGAGTTGAGGATCTGTGGGGTTTATTCTCCCAAAAGTATCATTTACAATTTAGGCATTCAGCAGACGCCTTATTCCAAAGCCACTTACAATGACCAATTACAGGGACGTTCTCCCTGGAGTGACTGAGGGCTAAGTGCCTTACTCAAGGGCACACTAGTGGTGGTGTTCCAGGCGGGATTTGAACTCGCAACCTTCCGATCATCAGCCCACCTCACTATATATTTGACCACAACAAAAACATTTTGATCTATTTGTGGCGGACGATATTTAATTGTGGCGGCCCGCCACAAACGAATCAATGTATGGGAAACACTGAATGAGTGGTGAGCGCAACAGTAAATACCTACGTTTATGTCTTGCATTCCACTTAAAGAAGACATGTTATGGAAACAAAATATTCAAAAATCTCAAATCCAACCCGTACAGGCTAAATAAATAGTTTTGCCTGATTCGACTTCAAGCGTGCATGTCCCAGTGGAAATCCGACCTCTGTAAAACCTCTTAACTGAACTCCTCCTCCCTTCCTCCAGATCATGTCTAAGCCCGGGGACCAGGTGTCGGCGGTGGGCTCCAGCGCCTCGGGGCCCGGCCGGCAGCACCAGAGCCACCCAGAGGAGACGGAGGAGGAGCTGAGGGAGCACCAGGGCCTCTCCCTGTCGCCCTCCTCCTCCTCTCCTATGTCCGCGCAGGAGACGGGGCCCCTTCGAGGGATGGTCATCAAGCAGGAGCCGCAGGACCCCCAAGAGCACGAGGAGAGAGAGAAGAGGGAGAGACTAAGAGACCAAGAGCAGGACTTCATGTTCCGACAGGTAAGGAGAGGAAGACTATAAGAGAGACACAACGATATAAAGAGATGAAAGGAAAGAGTGAAGGAAGGGAATTAAATGAGATTAGATTAGAAATACTTTATTGATTCTAAATTAGGAAATGGTTTTATCACAGCAGGATGGTAGCATAGCATTGCACAGGAGTCAAAATATATTATATATATCAACAGCAGAACAATACACAGTATATCTATATAGTATCTAAAGAATGCATGAGATAATATATACAGAATACTTTATAATGGACCAATCTATAATTAAGAATAGTACAAGACGAGGATACTCTTTACGTTAAAAAGTCTGCGAAGTAGTCGTAGTTTTCTTAAATGAAATTGAAATAAATAATATGTAAATGCTGTGAGGCAGTGTCAACAATTAAATGGAGACTAAAAATAAAAGAATGAAAACTGATCTGCTATGACATGGCATCAAACCCATCTGAGTAACATTATCTGAGTCAGGAATAATGTGCATGATTTCATTGATTTAAGTACGAATGTTTTGCTTCCACTAAGAACAAATAGTCTGTTGAGGAACAAAGCTGTGCGACAGCCACGTAACTGCAAATAACCGCAGCACGGTTTTCTTCTTCATAACTGTCAGTCAGTCCACATTGTATTTCCCATTCACCACTGTTTAAACAACGTGTTCCCTTTAGAGTTGACTTCCTGTCTGTCGTCTTCTGTCCATGTCTCTGTTGTCCAGCTCTGTCTTTAACCTCCTTCCTTCTATTGTGCTGTTTTTTCTTTTCTGGGGACAGTGTAGCCATCATAAATGCACAAGTGTGTGCCTTTCCCAAAGATAGAAATGAATATTTAAAACGCATTCCATGGTGTTGTCTGACGTTGAATTGACCAGACTTCTTTCTGCAGATTGATTTGACTGCAATCCACCGTGTAAAACATATTCCTTCAGGTTCTACGTTACTATAACTAGATATAATGGGGGAATCTTTTCTCTGCTTGTCTAAATGTGGTGATTATTTTGTAAGCAAAATCTGACAGCAGTGACAGATGGAGCGAGTACTATCTGAAACACTACACTTGCTTTCGATCCGCCTTTCTCCCCGACTGTCAATCCAGCCTGCTCTCCGGTATATTTTATTTTTTAGTCACGCAGAGAGTACTTACACACGGGTTACTTCTGGAGTATTCTTTTATGAATGGCTTAGGGCTCGTGTTCCTCCTCCATGCTACTCCCTTTAGCGCCACTCCACATAGACAATCACTTTCTCATGTTTTCAGAATTCTGGTTTTCACCCACACAAAAACCCTACTTGTACATCTCTGTCTCTGCACTGCACACAATCTGTGGCCACACACACACACACACACACACACACACACACACACACACACACACACACACACACACACACACACACACACACACACACACACACACACACACACACACACACACACACACACACACACACACACACACCCACACCATGAGGAGGACACCATGTCCTCATTTGTCTCGCCCATCCCTTCTGTCCGCTCAGCCAAATTCAATCAGGCACTCCTCTCACTGTCGCCATGGTGCCCAGTGAAAGCAGACACGCCCATCAGGGTTTAACAGAGAGGATTGCTCGGCGAGACTCTTTTGAGTGGAAAGATGAGATATTTAACTCAATGGGAAGAGCTTTTAGGCACTTATAATAAATACTGTAAAATCATTCATAAATAAAAGTACACGTGTTTTTCAATTTGAAGGCAGTTGGATGCAATTAGATCATTGTTTCTTCTAGGCTGCTCCCTTTTTATTATCATACAAATAGAATAATTATTACGTGAACTCAACTAAAGAAAATAAACAACATTGTTGTTGTTAAGTCTAGTCCTTTTTAATGTAGTTGTATGTATTGACTGATGTGCTTTTTTCCAAATACAAATCTTTACTGTATGTACAAATGTACATGTGGTATAAATAAAACAAAACAAATGTTTGCCTTGAATCTAAGAGCAAATGTTTTTTGGAAGAAATAACAAATAATTAAACTATATATTAAACTAATAATTCGCAATAAATTCAAGTTAATATAAATATAAATACATAAACAAATCGTATTAAGGGGAATCATAATAACAGGAATAAAAAACACACAAGAGATTTCAAAATAGTATAATAACCAAATGTTCAAAAGATAAGAATTGTAAGACCTATCATTTTAAATATTCAACATTACTGTACAGAACAGAAAAACACCAACATGTTACTGTGTATAACTAACTACTCATCCTATGTGTATATTTTATTATAGCAGCTTGATATTTGCGACAATCTAGTGCCATCTCCTGGCAGGAGACAGACATTGCAGTGCAGTAGTCACTGTGAACATGTGAGTGACTGTGTGTGTCTGTGTGTGTGTGTGTTTGTGTGTTTGTGTGTGTGTTTGTGTGGGCCAGCAGCAGGCTCTGCTGTTAGAGCAGCAGCGGATCCACCAGCTGAGGGACTACCAGGCCTCCATGGAGAAGGCGGGATTATCGGTCAGCTTCGCCGGACACCGCCCGCTCTCCAGGGCGCAGTCGTCCCCCGCCTCCGCCTCCTTCCCCATGGTGGTGCAGGAGCCCCCCGCCAAGCCTCGGTTCACTACAGGTCTGTTGAAAAATACAAATGATGAGGGTCTTACACCTACACACTGCGGTTTGAGTTAGGTTTTTTCTAGTGGTTTGTGCTCCTCTTACTCGGTTCCAATCCATTTGAGGAGTAAGATTTCACTTTTTTTTTAAATGTTGACCTAGTTTGTCCATAAATGTTAAATTCAAACTGTTTTTACACACATTATAAGATTAACAATGAAAACACTGAAAACATGCGTAATCATGTGCCTTGAATCCCGATCTCAATATATTTTACAATTTTTTTTATAAATAATAAAAAGGACTTGACATTTATCCCAAAAAATTCAACTAACACATTTTCAGTTAAATGAAAGCTCTTCGCGACAGTGATACAATATATAAAGGACACACGGATATTGTTTTATGGAAAATAGGATGGAAATTGCAGCCTTCATTGTTTTAGTGAAATGAACAAGGAAAAGTCCTTAGTGTTCATTTAGTCCACATGATTTGTATCTTAATCTCAGCTGTTCTTTTTATTTAGTATGAATCCTGTCTTGAATGTACTTTTCTAGTCTTTAAATTCAACCGCTCCGTCTATCTAGTCAAAACGTGTTTCATGTCAAGAAGATCTTATTTTCTGATGAAACACACAGGTTGATGAATGCACTACTTCTCTTTTCGTCATTCATACTGCATGCTGATGGTGTTCATTGACATCAATCTTCTTATCTAGTAAACAAAGCTTCTTGACGCACATTTTCATAATGGTTTTCATTAAGGGACACTGACTCACTCAGAGATCTATCATAAAGCAGAGCGGCCATGTAGGAACACTCTAATCCTGCTGATTGCAGGTCAGAGAAAGCCTTTCCTGGAACCACACAGCATGATGAGCAAACATACACTCACTGTGTGTGTGCACAAGGCTGTTACTACGTATTCTGACAGTATATACCATAACAAGTGTCATTTACTGCACAGAATCATCTAAACATGACCTTTTGTTTATGATGAAGCAGGTACAATAGACCGTAAGACTTTGATTATAGGAATCTTGTTGCGTTGAAGATATAAAATGACTGTGTGTTTTCCAGGTCTGGTGTACGACTCTTTGATGCAGAAGCACCAGTGTATGTGCGGGAACACCACCAGCCATCCAGAGCACGCCGGCCGCATCCAGAGCATCTGGTCCCGCCTGCAGGAGACAGGCCTCAGGGCGCACTGCGAGGTGAGGCCCCAGGGTGCAGCATGAGGATATCATGTTCGTTAAACTCTAGGTCAAACTGAACAGATTTGAATTGTCCTCTGCTGGAGTAACGGAGAGTCAAATAAGTAATAAGACTTCCTCCATCGCAGACGGAAAACTGGATCTGTTTGGACTGCACCTTGCAAATAAAATGAATTTTAAAAAAAGACACACTTCTGCACGTAGCACTTGTGTCTTCATGGTTTACTGTAAGTTGCTTTTTAAAAGCTTCATCTTGACACCAATCTAATGTAAATCATCTCGCCCTCCTGTATCCAGTATGCTCTTCATATCTCCATCTTCCTGTGAAATCCTGGAAAATATGTACGTTAGATTCACAGTATGATATCAGTGAAGAGATTCAAACAAACAGATGTTACCAACGTTTTAAGGTGGAATATTATCCTTTTCGATTCTTGAATGTTATTTTTGAGAGGCCACAACTAAAAGTAAAAATAGGAGAAGCACTTTAATGGTTTTATACCGATGCTACATTCAAAATATTGTGGGTTCTTTACACTGCACTATGAGCAATATTGTTATGATGTCAGTGTTGTTTCTCACTACTTAATGTACGTACACCTGTTGTGTTCCGTTTCTTTATCCTCGTTGTAAACAAATCTCTTCAACATATTGCCAGAATGAAACTGAGTGCAGGTGGTTAAAATGTCCAGATGGGGGCAGTGTGTAGCTATCTTCGCTTGACTCTTCACTTTACAAAAGAACATTACACATTTTTAGTTATGGCTTGAAAATGAACCAGTTTCCCTTCCTACTGTTATTCATAAATACATGTATACATGCAGACACCATTGACCCTACCTATCTGCACTACTTCTTCATAAAGGCCGAGCATGGACCCTGAACTAATAACATTGTGTCTCTTTCCTTTCCGTTTTCTTTGTCGACTAGGTCACATTGGATGGTTTCACTCCAGAATCTTTCCCTCTTATTTACTCACCACTCTGTTCATTTATTACATTTTTGTTAACTTTATTTTTCCTTTTCGGAAACAACATAGCAGCTTTGAAATACGTACAGTATCAAAACAAAACACAGTAGTGTGTATGTTGTCAATTTCAGTTGAATCAATACCGATTGTGATTCTCTTTGTCTGATCTTTCTCTACCTGTGTCCTCTCCAGTGTATCCGCGGCAGGAAGGCCTCACTGGAGGAGTTACAGACGGTCCACTCCGAAGCACACGTCCTGCTGTACGGAACCAACCCACTGCGGCAGAAACTGGACTGTAAGACTTACTAGAACACACACACACACAATATCCCAAAAAAGCTTATTACAATTTTGAGCTGAAGTAGCAGCTGCAATATAGATTTCTAGGCAATCTGACTGCAAATCGTGTTGTCAACCACCTGCTTAATCTAAAGTATTCTGCTTAAATGTGAAGCTGTAATGCTGAAACACACTGCTCAAAGCAGACAACACACTGTACATATCAATATTAAGTCATGTGTGTCCATTTAAGAAGGACTTATTCCTACTCTAAATCGTTAATTTGAATGCTTTAAAGCTGCAGGTCTGCAAAAGGAGTCTGCTTTAATGCTTTAAAAACCGTGTCATAAACAAATGGTCCGATCTAATAAAGTCCTGGAGGTGTTACGATAGGCGAGGAACTGCTGAAGCTTGTTAACTGGAAGTCGCGCAGGCTGCTTTGTCACTTATGCCTGGCCTTCAGTGGCTCCAAGTGCAGGTGTAGCGAGGCAGTCCTCTTTATAGGTGTGGGTTTGAGCAGAAGGGCAAACCCCAGTGGTCATCTTAGCTTTCTTCCAGCGCAGACATAAATTCCCCTCATTATACTGCTTACACAGGAGAAATACCAGATAATCCTGCACCAGGTTCAGCAGCAAACCAGGTGCGTTTGCACACGCACCACAAATAAAAATGGAGACCAAAAAGAAAGTAGAAAGCAAACTGTTAGAACATACTAACGTATTTTAGAATAAGCGGTGGCTTCCTGAGACCATAGAGCTTCAGAGGTCTGCTGTTTCACTCATGAAAACGTAACACGTGTCCAGTTGTCAACACTGAATTGGGATTAGTCAATGTTTTGAAAATAAGAGCTGGTACATTTTACATTGATAACATTTCTTCAAAAAGCCATGTACCAAGAATGCAGTTAAATTCAATGAAATGATGCTTTTTCCTTGGTTTGTATGCTGCTTTTGCACTCTTGTCTAATCCATTAAGGGTTATGTCCGACTACGTTTATCTGGCAGTTTCATTTCTGCAGTTTTTTTAAATGAATTCTTCACTTCAGATGGACATCTGTATTGGTTTTAGTTTCTTTATTGGTGTCCTTAATGGTTTATATTGTAGTCGGGGAACAGTCCTTACACCAGGTGTTGAAAGTAACTAAATACATTTACTCAAGTATTGTACTCAAGTACTTTTTTGACAAATGTTTACTTTATTCCACTTTTTACTACACTACACTTTACTACACTATACTATACTATATTACTTAACACACATGTATTAGTTACTTTGTGCATATGCAAATATGCTGATATGGTATAATGCAGTCCACATTGACGAACTAGTCAATGTATAAGTATACAAATGTTCTTTCACTTTTGATACTTGAAATACATTTCGATGCTAATAATTTTGTGTTTTTACTTACTTACTGTTATAAAGGATCCGAATACTTTTTCCAACACTGCTTACACCTTGTGTATTGACCTTGACCTTGACAAGACTGAGCTGCTCTTCCTCCCGGGAAAAGATTGTCCCACTCTTGACCTAACAATCAACATCGGCACCTCAGTTGTTTCCCCGACTCAGACTGCAAGGAATCTGGGTGTGACCCTAGATAAACAACCTGTCCTTCACTGCAAACATCGCTGCTACAACCCGTTGCTGCAGATACACGCTTTACAACATCAGGAAGATACGTCCCAGCTGACACAGAAAGCGGACTCAGGTTCTGGTCCAGGCTCTCGTCATCTCACGCCTTAGACTATACTGCAACTCCCTCCTGGCTGGTCTACCTGCATGTGCCATCCGACCTCTGCAGCTCATCCAGAATGCAGCGGCTCGTCTGGTCTTCAACCTTCCTAAATTCTCCCACCACCACTCCGCTCCTTCCGCTCCCTTCACTGGCTTCCGGTAACTGCTAGAATCCACTTCAAGACACTGTACTTGCTTACCGTGCTGCGAATGGATCTGGCCCCTTCCGACATCCAGGACATGGTTAAACCGTACACCCCAGCGCGTGCACTACGCTCTGCATCAGCCAAACGACTCGCTGCGCCCTCGCTGCGAGGGGACCCAAGTTCCCATCAGCCAAAACATGTGGGTTTGCTATCCTGGCTCCAAGATGGTGGAATGAGCTCCCCATTGACATCAGGACGGCAGAAAGCTTGCACATCTTCCGGCGCAAACTGAAAACTCATCTCTTTCGACTCCACTTCGAGCGTTAGAACTATTAACGAAGCACTTTTATACTAATAAAGGACTGGCTTATCTAAAGCCAGTTGAGTAGCACTTGAAATGTTTGGCTCTATGAAGCCTGATGTACTTATATGATTCTGTTTTCTTCAAGGTTGTGTCTTCCTGGTCGAATGTACTTATTGTAAGTCGCTTTGGATAAAAGCGTCAGCTAAATGAAATGTAATGTAATGTAATGTAATGTAATGTAGTGTATTTTACTTACTTTTTCTGACTTTTTTCTTTTAATTTTGTCTATTTTGTTTCATCATAAATGTGTCAGCTGTTAATTAAATCTTAATCTTTTGTCAAAGTTATTGCTATACTGATCCAGTTGTTTGGATTGGCATTAGGTTAATGTTTGATATTCCATGCAGTTATTTTTTTGGTCTAAAAAATTATAAACCAAGTAAAAAATTCCAAACAGACATAAAAACTAAGGTTTTTGTCATCTAGAGAACATTGTAATCTCTAGACCAAAACAAGTTCACTCATTTCCATTTTTTACAGCAACAGATCTCTAGATTCCTCCTGAGAGGATTTAATTATGAGGCCAATGCCATACTGTTTTCCCCCTTCACCTCGCCCAATTAAAGCAAGCCCCTGTATACTCTTGTTGTTAGATTAGGTCAGAAAGTCAAATGCTCAGAATCAGAGGTCATGTGCGTATTTGTGCCCATGAGTGCAGAAAGTTACCTCTTCACCTGGTGACCTTTCGCTCTTTATTTCTAATTCTCATGTTCTGTCTTCCTGCCTCAGGTTCAGTGAGCCCCATGTTTGTGAGGTTACCATGCGGAGGAGTAGGGGTAAGTTTCTTGCTTCATAAAGTCATGCTTGAGTCATTTTACAAATATTCACTGTGTAATTAAGTATTGGTAATTGTTGTGCCTGATATAACTTGGAAGTTGCCAACGTTAGTCACGCTTATCCAGTGGAAAATTGCTGTAACAGACTATTTTAACAGCTTTTTTTTTACAACATTGTGCTAATCTAATCAATACCCAACTGGCATCTGACTTTGTATGAAACTACTTCAGCTTCATGAAAAGTAGTATAACAACTGCGCCCAATCTCTCTCCTCTCTGCCCCCCTACCTAAATAATAGTCCCATTTGTTCTTGTTCCACCAAACAAACACACACACACACACAATCTGCAAACACACACAATCTGCAAACACACACACACACACAACGCCTTTCAAGGACCAGAGGCAACAAAAGCTGTAGCTTGGCTTTCCGCCTTGTTTGTAATTATAACCAGATGTTTTCACCATACGAGCTGTGTGTGTTAGTGTGTGTGTGTGCGTTGGTACGGTTGGGGGATATGTTTTTGTTTGTGTGCATAGCAGTTTGTTTGGGGATGTTTGTGTGCTAAGGCAATGATGTAGATGGTTGGAAGTGCTTTTCCAAATGGATATGCTGAAACAGTCTAGCACCCGCATGCGTGTGTTACTGTTGACTTTTTATCCATATTGTTGAGGATTTCCAATGATTAGCCCAATACACACATACCTGCAGTACATTGGCCTTTAAATTAAATCAATTACATTTTATTTCTAAAGCTCAATATCACACATTACACTTTTTTAAATAATGCTAGGTGAAAGACACAACATGTATTTTTGGGACATAAGTTGAATTCCCCCTGACAGTAAGCCTACAGGAGCAAAACTAGGGGCTGGTTCAAGGTAAGCCTGAGCCAGCCCTAAATGCAAGCTTTAACACAAAATTAAGTCTTGAAGGGGCCCTATGCATATGGAGGGTTTTCCTTTCCTGTAGTGTGTTATATTGGTTTTTGAGCATGTAAATGGTTTGCAAAGGCTAAAATCCCTGTGTTCCCTCCAGAGGGAGTTTCTCTCCCACACCCCCCACCCCTGCCAGAAACGCCTCCATTGGACTCCTTTGTTTACCTCCTTAACATAGTGACATCACTAAGTAACACTCGTGGTTCTATTGGCTAGTTCTCCAATTGGACTCCTTTGTTTACCTCCTTAACATAGTGACATCACTAGGTAACACTCGTGGTTCTATTGACTAGTTCTCCAATACATTAGGAGGCGCTTTCCCAGGAATAGTTCCGATAGTTCCTGGGATTTTTCGTTCAGAACTTTTTTTTGCAAACCTTTTCACCCCTTTGTAGTCCCCGCTAGAGAGCAGGGACTTTCCTGGAGAGAAAAAGGTTCCAATTTCTGATTGGCGAGGCGAATTGCAAACCACGCCCCGTAAAACTCTGAAAAGTTTTTGTGAAGCCGCCATTTTATTCCCTCGCATTCGCATTATTAGCATTAGCCCAGCGCACCAACGGAGAGACACTAACTTATGGCAACACAAAATAAAACGTGGGATCGGTGGAGTGATGAGGAGGTGTCGGCGCTTCTGGCGAACGCGATTTACTAGGACAGTTATGGGACTAAAGAGTTTGGCGGGACTAAGTACTGGGAACTAAGTACGGCAAAGTACTTGGTGTGAAAGCGGCTATTGTTCATGATAGATTAAGGGGCAGGAACTCTCTAAGCGGTTGACCAATCACAACAGAGCCGACCAGCTAACCAATCAGAGCAGATTGGGCTCTGGTTTCAGACAGAGGGTGAAAGAGGAGAGGCAGTATGAGAAATATATACCTTTTTGAACATTAAAGCATGTAAACCTTTCACAGTAGAGGCACAAAATACAAATATGAACCTGAACATTTACATCTCTTTAAGCCTGCTCTTTAATGTGGAGAGGATCTCAGCCGCCCGATCCCATTGTAGTTAAACTTGCTGTTTCCAGCTCCTATATTTACATGTGATCCATACCTCCACTCTCCCTCCCCCTCCCCCCCCCCCTCGAGGCTTACTGCTGCTGCTGGTGGGAACAAGAAGAGCTGGAGCCCCGCACTGCCTTGTTCTGCCCTTTATAATGGCAAATGGGGCTAAATTGTTGTCTTCCTGTCATACACACACATACAAGTCAACCCCACACACACACACATACAAGTCAACCCCACACACACACACATTTACAGAGGAAGGGGGCTGAAATTAGGCTGTCAGCCTGTGGGGAACCATCATTCCGTCATACCAGCACGTTCCCGCTCTTTTTTCTACCTACCCCTTCTCTTTCACTTGTTTTTCCTGACGAACTTGCATCTCACTCCTGGCTCGAGGTGAAACTAACATCAACATGGGAAATAATAAACCACCCAGTCTCCACATGGCGCTTTAAAGCAGCATCTGTTTGCGCTCATTAACCTGACTTGTATATATGATTCCGTTTCCCATTCACTCACTCACTTGGCTCCTCGCTTTCTCGAACGCTCAATCACCAACTCGGCTACTACACAATGTCTTTCTCTTACACCACTTTCTCCTCTCATTCTGCTCCCACAGTCACTCTCTACACCAGGGGTGTCAAAGTCATTTTAGTTCAGGGGCCACATGCACCCAAATTTGGTTTCAAGTTGGCTAGAAAATAAAAATGCATAGCATAATAACCTATAAATAACGACAACTCCAAATGGTTCCCTTTGTTTTGATGTCAAGAAGAATATTCTTAAAATGTTCACATTGAATGATATCGTTTTTTTAACAAATGTAGTCATTTTACATTAATTTCCACATCTGTGCAGTAATCCTGACACACCACCATACAAACTAAAGTGGGAACTATTAAGAAAAGAGTTTAAGTTATCCCCCTGACTCGTAACATTTCAAAATGTATACATACCCAATACACAAAAATCTGTAGTTTTTACACTTTGCAAAGTCATCCCGCGGGCCGGATTGGAACCTTTGCTGGGACGGTTTTGGCCCGTACACTTTATGTTTGACACCCCTGCTCTATACCCCCTTACAACTTTTTAAGTCTACAATAAGTGCACCACAGTTTTAATTGCATGGTCTTCTTGGCGCAACTTAAGAAAGAGCCTTTTCTTCCTCTTTGGATGCATTATGGAGTTGTCCTCCAGCCTTGATCACTGCAGACAAGAGAAACAGTCGAGTCTCTTAACACAGCGCCTGGTTAAAGGGGTGAGGGCACCAGCTGACTGACTGAAAGGCTGTCAGTGTGAATGAAAAGGCCAGCAGTCTGACGGGAGTAGGTGACTGGCAGGTTAATATATTCAAAGGAGAGCCCCCGGGGGTACATCAGAAAGCCTCGATCAGAGCTCTGGTACGGTCCGCCCAGCACATGTGTGTATGGTTCAAACACATCGACTTTCCTTTTCTTCTTCTTTTCCTTCACCAGCTTCTTCTCTCCCTGTTTATCATGCGCTCCATCTGCCTGCACTGTCTGCCATGCCTGATGGAGGGTGTGTGTGTTATCCTGTGCATAGCCCTGTTCACAATCAATCACGTAGAGTTTTGTGCTCCATTTGGCTTGTATGCATGTTGGTGTGTGTGTGGATGGGCTGTTTGTGATTGGGGCTGAGGGTCAAGCGTGCTGCAGAATAATGTGGGATGACCACTGAATGATGTCTGAACACACATATACAATCATACATACAGTAAATCTTTAATTATTATATTTACTATATAAAACAAATAAATAAATGCAGAATAGCTGTATTTGTCTTGCCTTACTTCAATTTCCATTATGTTCGTACCCAGACTTTTAATTTTTTTCTTTTTCATGTGACCTCTATTTTTTTAATTTAATTTGTCAACATATTGGCGAAATTGTGTTTCAAAACAACTCTTATCTTTTTAATTGAAAACATAACATCGATAAATGCCAGAATGAAGAGTTTGTATTGAAGAACAAGGTTATTTTACATCTGCTTCTTCGTGTTTGCAAAAAAATAAATGTTCAGAAATGATGCGGTCTGTGTGATTCAGCTTCTAAATATGTGTTACTTCCTCACAGTTTCTATTGTTTTCAGAGAACATGCCAGCAGTCCCAAAACTATTACTTTCAAAGACTCACTTTGATGTGAAATGACATAAGCCAAATGATTTCAAATGTCCTCACAGTTTTACAATCGCCGTCACACTGAAATAAACCACAATATCAAATGTCCCTCAATAAATGGAAAACAATATAAAGTTGTTTTGACTCCCTTTTTATAAATGCGGTATTAACAACGTACATAGGGTTAGTTAGGGTTAGGGTTAGCCTAACCCAACAACATAACGGAACATTTGTGTGTGTTTGCAGGTGGATAACGACACCATCTGGAATGAGGTCCATTCATCCAGCGCGGCTCGTCTGGCCGTGGGCTCCGTGGTGGAGCTGGTCTTCAAAGTAGCATCGGGAGAACTCAAGGTAAGTTGGCTTTCTCCACTCCGAAGGATCCCCAAAGTAATGGCTGAGCTATGTTTTTAGGGATTGGAGTGAGTAAAGGCTAAGTTTAAGAAACATGAAACAAAGATCAGATGAACCACTTTAAAGGGTTTTATTATGTCAGCCCCTCTTAAAACCACACCTTTAGACTTTAAATTATGTTTTTTACAATTTGTTTGAATTGTAGTAAAAACTGTGTGGTTATTTCGCCATAAGGTTTGAGGTCTTTTACCAAAAACAATGTAATAATAATAAAAATTCATTACATTTATTTAGCGCTTTTACGAATGCTCAAAGCGCTTTACATTACATTGGATAACTCACAGGAGAGCTATTTTTTTTTACAAGCTATGCATTTTCAATACTTTTTTCTTGGCTCTATATATTAATATAATAAAAAAATGGGTATTTCTTTTTTTTTATTGTGTAGATCTTTATACACTTTATTACACCTAACGCTTTGAGTCTAGCCTCTCATAGCACTAAACTATCCTTCCACACCTCCAAACACCTAGAGAAAAGCAAACCCTCCCTCCACCCTACAGTCTCGTTAGCACCTCCCAGACAGACATCCCCACCCCCCCTCCTGCTTTGCCCACCAGCCAGCCTTCCTGTGTCTGTGGTGAGGGCTGCTTACTGTTTGAACCCAGCAGGGGGGCCTGGAGCACTGGCACTGCACTCCCCACTAACAGGCCTCTTTTATAAGCATTACACCACAGACACCTGCAGAGCAGCAGTCGCACTTAGCGTTAGCTTAGCACCAACTTACTAACCACAGACTAATGACATTCCTCTGAAGGACATGAGCTCACCATATTGTTCACTATAAGTTCTTGCAATCATTACCATGAGGAAATCTAGGTCTGTTCTTCCTATATGGAACATTGCGTGATTGGAGTTTAAAAGGATTACACATCCCAGGAGGACAAACCTTGAACTTCAGTCAAACATGAAGAATGTAGGGTTAAAGTTCACAGGTATTGACTTGCCCTCAGCTTAACCTCATCTTAACACATACATGCACATGTGTACACATGCACACACATTCACACACACATGCTTACACACATACAGATGTTCCTCTGAGGATCCTCAACAGCTGAACGACCAAATTCCACCTGTGCCAACTACTCTCTGAAGTCTACACAGTGCCATAAATCTACTCATGCACACAGGACTATCACTCCAATCACTTCTATTCCCCCCTCCCTTCTATCTTAATACATTGTTAAGTATTCTCACACACCTACGTACGTACTGTATTATGCGGCTTGAGTTAACCGAGTGTCTGGATCCAGCTGAGGTAGTTGTCTTTACAATAAACTCCCGGCAGGCTGTTAATCCGCAGCAGCTGACTCAACATCATTAGTCCAGATAGCCTCGCTCCACATCAGCATGGACATCTATCTAGTGTCCCCACATAGCAGCGGGTGCCCTGCAAACTGTTGCTTGGAGTCCTGCATGTCCACGCCTTAGCAAAGATCCCCTTAAATGACCCGGAGTAAGCATATGTTTCTGTATGTGTGTTGATACGCACACTTATTGTTTACTCTACCTGTTAGAAAACATCTTGAATCTTCAACTTCAGATATGGTGGCATTTTTGAAGAATGAATTGTGATTATGTTTGGTATTGACCGACACTAGAAGGGAAGTTAAAAGATGAAATAATTGTTGCTTTACATTTTTGAGGTCCGAGGAAATGACGGAGTTGGGTCGAAAGACCTTATTGGAGCTGGAATAATTCTTCCTACTATTAATTCAAAAATTAATCGCATTTTTTAGGGCCTAAAACGAAACAGGATTTTCTTTTAACACAAAACAATTATTTTACCTTCTTGTCTTCTTCCCTTTTCTTTCTAATAACATTTGAAGTTTTCAATTATGAACTTTGCCTACTTTTGTTTCATTTTATTTTTAAATACATGAGGTCTACACTTGTCAAAATGTGCAATATAAACAAACTTGATTTTAGCAGGTTTGAGGTCATACAGAAATAACAAGGACCTTATTGGTTTATCTCCAGTAACAGTTTAACATATGTGAATGATTTTCTTTCCCTCTGACAGAATGGTTTTGCTGTAGTTCGACCACCTGGACACCATGCTGAGGAGAGCACGCCAATGTAAGTACATGAGGAAATGTAACCAGTTCATAGATAAGCTCTAGTCTGTTTTATTGCAGCCCTATTATAAATAAATTAGTATTATTACACAGCTCCTCCATGCCTTAAATGTATCCAAAATAAAAATGTCCGTAAGAACATACAGTGTCTTACGGACATTTAAGGCCCCGACCCCACGGGGACACATCCCATGGGACACATAGGGTAAAACGCAAACGAAATCGCAAAAAAGGGTTCCGTCCACACGCAATAGACACCGGAAAGTGTCTGTTCACACGAGACAGCTCCGTTTAGCGCCAACCGCTGGAGAAGCTGCAGTACATATGCCCAGCCTGTACGTGGCGCTGTAACTTCCTCCACAAAAGCAGCGAAGAAGCATGGTTGTCATGGTTGCCCTTCTGTTTATTCTCCGCGGTGGGGGCCGAGGGAACCGGGCAGAGTTTTTCGCCGGTCAACGTGAATTAAAGTTTAAATCTTCCAGACAAAATTATAAAAGTGCCGGTCAAAGGTCTTCTTTGTTATTTATTGAGCTTTAAAACAAATGAATAATGACTCTATATAATATAATAATAAAATAAACGGAGCCTCTCTTTTTCCTCCCTCTCTTCTGACAGCATCAGTGTCTGTTTCATGCAGCAGCTGATCCAGTAATGAGTGACCCGGCCGACAGTACAAATAAACATATTTATAACTAGTTTAGATAGTTTGAGAAGTAATTAAAATAGCTAAGGGTGATGATCTGACCTGAAGTGTGTGTTTTGCTCCGTTCACCGCCGCATCACAGCGGGAGGAGCTGCAGGTGAGCAGAGCTGCGTGTCTCCGTCCTGTCAGATTAGACTTCACTCGCGTTTATGTCCATATCGAGAGAAAGATAAATAATCTGAATTCAGTGTGCAGTTTACTTTGACGCGGGGGTGAGCAGCAGAGGTGGGGCTATTGCGTCATCATTATCAGAAAATTATCGTATAGGGCAGGGGTATTCAACTCAAATTCAACGAGGTCCAGTTAGAGAAAATCTCCCCATGCAAAGGTCCGGAGCTTCAAAATGTCTAACTTGCTTTATGAATTAGTGTGATATTGAAGTAGCCTGTAGCTTTATCAACGTCTGCATGTAATCAACAGCTGACTGCCAAATAAAGAAAGTACAATTCAAGAACAACAATATTTATATATATTTTGTCAATTAACATTGAACTATACAGATATACAGTAAAATACTGTGGATATGTGTAATGTTCCTCTCGGGCTGCATTTAAAAATGAAATAGAGAAAATAAATAAAATAGCTTTTGAAAATGTGTGCATCTTAAAGTGCTTAATTTTAGATACATAAAATAAAGTGTAGCAGCAGCTTGAGTTTCCCTTTTTCTTTGTTAACCGTTTCACAGCATGACTTAACAGTTTCAGCCGATTATAGAAGTCTTTACACATCATAACAATTGAACAGTTTTAAAGTTTCTCTTTCTTTCCCTCTTATATTGCAGTCCCTCACTCACTTTGTTTTATTCAGTGTGAGAATTGAGCTCGAGTTTGTCCTGCCAGGAGTTTAAATCTGTGCTGAAATGGTGTCAGGGCTAAACACACGCAGGTTGGTTAGCCTGCGCTGGAAAGATATTTATTTGTTGTGATCTCAGTTCTGACTTGAGAGGGAATGCTTGGTCAAACACTTTGTGTTTTGTCTCATAGTGGCGTTTTGGCACTTTTAATGAGCGCCACGGTCTCTGAACAAATGAGACACACTGGTTCTGTGCTCCCAGCAGGATGAACATGAATGAGTCCACTCAGGGTTAAAAGCTCTGTTCTCACTGTCCACTTTCCTCTTCTTGGAGAGCGCCATGTGTAATTATGTGTCTCTCCCTGTCTGCCGCTAACACGCCTGTTCACTCTTCGCTCCGCTTCTCTCCCTGTATCGCTAATTATTCTCTTCACTCACTTTCCTCTCCGCTTCTCTCTGCCGTGCTCTCGTCTCTTCTTCTGTGTTTCTCTCCCTGTATCGCTCACTCGTCTCTTTCGCCCCCTGTCGGCGGCGGTTAAAATAGAATCGCCCCGTCAAAATTGAAATCCCCTATTAATGAATTGATTATAGGTCCGGGTCTGTATAGGTCGGCGTCTGGGTCCGGATCCGGACCGCAGTCCGCCTGTTGCCGACCCCTGGTATAGGACGTAATAACGGAGCCGTTGGACCCCCCAGAGCATTGCGTATGCCGTTCTATCCAGCTCGGGACCCGTTATCATTACCGTAGTCGTTTACTGCCATATTCTGTCGTCCTAGTGTGGCCGAACGGTCTATATGACACGAAACTGTAACGGAAACTACCGTATGCGTCCTCGTGGGGGCGGCGCCTAAGACACTGTATGTGTCTTAAATATCACACATACAGTGTGGCATTGTATGTGTGATATACCAATTTGCATTCCATGTTGTAATAGTCCTCTGTATATCACATATTAAAGCTTCTACTTAATTATGCACAGTGGGCATTTAATGTGTTGTTCTTAAAATTAGATTTAATGGCATGACTGTATTTAAGTATAGCAGCCTCTGAAATGTCCAGATTGACCAATCAGAATTGAGTATTCTAATATGCTGTGTAATAATGACTGATAAATGCACTTGCTCTTTTGACCTATAACACTTTTACCTGTGAATTTACGTTAAGGGACAAATAAAGTATGTTCAACTACATTGAATTACTGTCCATTCTCCTTTCAGGGGCTTCTGTTACTTCAACTCAGTCGCCATAGCAGCCAAGCTGCTGCAGCAGAGACTCAACGTCAGTAAAGTCCTCATCGTGGACTGGGTGAGTTCAACATAAAACACAATGGGTCATTATTACAGAACAAGCTATTTAGAGAATGCACTCTGGTGTTGTTGCGGTGGCAGTTATTTATGTTGTGCTTTCATTAGTTTTATTTGCTTTCAGAAATGGGTAGGCAAGCTACGTTATGAGAGGATAAAAGGGCTTAAAATATTGTCTATTTAGGTCAGACGCTGTCTCTCTTTTGAAAAATGACCAAGCCTCGGTCATGTCTGCTCTTCAGCGGCTTCCCTCACTCGTCATGGCCGTTGCCAAAAGCCTTTGAAGGTCCTTTTCATTTCCTCTGTCTGTCACAGGGGAACTTTTAGTGCAGCTAGCAAACTCATTGTCATGCCCGTCCAGCCATCAGGGGACATTTTTAGGACCGCTTTATTAAAGCATTCTTGGGAAAGAGACAATGAGGTCATTCAACTGATGTTTTTTTGAATAACCTTTGAAGTGTTTTATTGAATCCTGCTGACCATCTTATTTTGATATCAGAGCAGCTGAGGTACATGTCTGTCTAGAAGTCTCTGATCATCATTCAGTTTGTCTTAGTGCACTACGAAGGTCGATTTGTCTCAATATTAATTGTGTGAACAGTTCTTATTTTTCATTTTTGAAAGGTTTTCAAAATGTACCGATTACACATTTACACACGGATTGTCGATCTGTTCAACCCAATCATCTGATGTCCTTCTGGTGACAAGTCGGCTTCTCTTATGTCTCTAGAGCTGCTCCCTCATTTTTACAGACCTCGCACACCACTCTCTGTTACATTTTCTCCTAACCCATCCCTTTTCAATGTTTCCAGGACGTCCACCATGGTAACGGTACCCAGCAGGCCTTCTACGCAGACCCCAATGTTCTCTACCTGTCGCTGCATCGCTTTGATGATGGGAACTTCTTCCCTGGCAGTGGAGCACCTGAGGAGGTGGGAAAGGACCCCCAGTCCATCTCTCTGGCTGCCTGTCTCCCTTTTGCTTAAAGTAACCTGGGTGCCTATGTTTCTTGTGTTGCAGGTGGGCAGTGAAGCAGGCGTAGGCTTCAACGTGAACATGGCCTTTACAGGAGGACTTGAACCTCCCATGGGTGACGTGGAGTACCTGGCTGCTTTTAGGTAAGGCCCTGATATCACATGCTACTTTAGAGAAATATTCTCTCTAATTTTGGTGGTCCAACTGTAGATGTAGATACATTGTGGTGCTAAAATATTACCAATCAACTACTGGTCCGATGACAAGTTAGCCTCTTGCTTCAACGGCCAATATTTCGAGGAAATATCGAGGCAAAGGCTTCGTCTTCAATGCGGTGTTCCTTTTGTTGCAGTATGATTAGCAAATGTAGACGTAGTCTGGGTTGAGAGCTGACGTTGACAGCTCTCTATACATCTCTGCAAATGAGTGAAAATAAACCAATAAAAGAGAGCAAAGCACTCCGAAATGGGCACTTGTGTTTTGTACCTTATATTTTTAAACTGTTTACCTCCATGCAACCAAAGCCTGCAAAAACATGATTTGTCAAAACTGCTTGGACTACAAATGGTAACCACTTCAAAAATAATATAAAAAGCAAAAACAAATAGCAAATGTGTTCCGAAAAGTGCCCTTCTGTTTTGCACATCAGGTTCTTTCTACACCAACTGCTTACCATGCAAATAAAGCCCGCTCAAACATGATTGGTCAATTCTTATCGATCTACAAATCAAAACTGCTCCCCATTTACAAATGTTGTCCAGTTCCGTACAAATTCTGCATTCTAATTTGTGTATAGGTATTATGCTAAAGGTGTTGATGGAGTGCTCTGTAGTGCACAGTTTGACAAACGATCCATTGGGGGCTGTTGAGTATTAAGGGAGCTGCTCCTAATGCCAGGCCTGATTTCTATTAGGTCCACTTTCTAGAGCTATTTATAACCTCACACATACAACATACGCACACCCAGCTCGAAAGGCATGGACTCACCACAGACATGTTCATGTCTCATCACCATCTCTGGTTCCGGTAAGGAGCAGGTCTGGATTGGTTCCAGCGCTCTTTGAAGATGAACCCATGTTCTGGCCCCGTGCCAAACCCTTCAAACCGACAGGCGCCGCTGTCTTCTCACAGCCCTCGGCACGCAAACCCCCGGAAGCACACCTCTCTCTGTTAATGCACCCCAGACCCCTGTGTGCCCTCACTTTTTATTGTTTCTTTCCCCTTCATCCTCCTCTTTCCACACATGTGTACATAATGCACTGATGACAACCACCGAATATACATATATCATACAGACATTATTTATAAGCCATCACTGAAGCTGTTGCAGTTTCCTTAGAATTCCCAATACAATTCAGTATTTACATTCATTTGAAAAAAGCGCATGGCCTGTGTGCTAATGGTATTTTTTACCTGAGATGTCTAGCTTTGACACGCATGACATCTAGGATTTTATTTTAATATTTGGCTAAAATATATAAATCAAACAATTAGTGGAAAATGAAAACACTCACTTTTATTCTGATAGACAATATGATATTCTGCTACAATTCTTCACAAATGTTGTGAATGGCAACGGTTGCAGAATAACTCTCCACAGCTTTCTGTGCTTTCTCTGCATCTCCGGGGCCACAGAGGCTGCTGTAAAGGGCCACACTTTAGGTTAAATTGAAATAAACATTTACTTTGCTAACTATGCTTTATTTATTAACAATCTATTCTGTCCTTTTTTTTGTTTAATAACAATAGTAACTGCTCGATTATAACGGGCATGTCGGTTTGTTCTTCATTTGTAGATAGATGTGCAGTTTATACGTGTTCATTACTAACCTGTATAAGCTTGTTGATAACAATTTATTTATTATTGCTCTTAAAGTTTTGAACTCTAGCCATTTAGTTAAAATGCAATAAGTATTCAGATTGTTAGTTCCCATATCGAGCAAACAAAAGGAAAAACAGGTTCCTGCAATTATACTCAAACTAAATTATTCCTAAATAACCACTTTTTTAAAATACCACTTTTTGTAATTGAGGCTTTAAACACTTAAGTGTCGAGCCCCAGATTAGATAACGCTGATGACATCTTCAGGGTTATTATTTTTCAAACTTTGGAAAGCCAGAGAAGGGATATTGTAAAACCTTTTTCACTGGCTGCGTTTTACTCCTTGTGATGATGACTTTGAATGTCATGTTTAAAATTGGAGTGCCCCTTTTTAAGTCTTGCAAACACATTATGTTGGAGATGTTTCATCTGTATTTGAGCTGATGTATTCTTATTAAGGTATGCAGTGCACTTCAGTGAAACCAGCCCACTTTGTTAACATCAAATTCAAAACCCTTTTTCACACAGTAGTTTTAGTATGTTTGGTCATGGCTGCATGCATGTGGAGAGGCTTTAACTGTGTTTGTATGTTTTGTTTATGTAATTGTAGGCTATTAAATGAAAATGATGGAAGCAGTCCAAAGATATCAAGTAAAAGAGAACTCCAGTTTTGGGTGTGTTTCACCTCGGACCATGGCGCCATTAATCCCCCGAGGCTGTAGAAGTATAGGACAATTCATAGGCCCCAGAGGACAGCAGCAAACCTGTCTCACAGCTCATATATCTACCACACACACACACATGTAAAGCACAAGCTCATGAAAATGCAGAGAATCCTGGTTTTCATGAATTAATTAACACAGATGCACAAATAATCCCACATGCAGCTTTCACATCGACGCATTTACAACAACATGTGGAACAACACCTGATGCACACAGCCTCTCTCTCTCTTTGAATGTCATTGTTTATCTGTGTGTTGCCGCCCTCTTCTTCCTCCCTCCCAGTTTGTGGGACGGGATGCGTCCCTCGCAGCAAGCACCTTCCCATTCCTCCACTGGCCTGTGCCACGTTGCATTTGCAGGGGATCAATTCAGAGCCTCCAGAAACAGAGAGAAAAAAGATAAGAAAATTGGCCCTAATGAAAACCAGAAGCGCCGTCTCTCTCTCTCTCTCTTCTCTCTCTCCTCTCTCTCTCTCTCTCTCTCTCTCTCCTCTCTCTCTCTCTCTCTCGTCTCTTCTCCTCTCTCTCTCTTCTCTCTCTCTCTCCTCATCCTCCTCCCCTCACTCCCTACTTTGCCATGAACTTGGAAAGACGAGAGAGGAGGAGAATTAAACTTAATTCAAACCAGCTCTCCGCAGAGCCAGATGACAGGGCTTTGAAGTGTAAGTGTGCGTGTGTGAGTTTTTCGCTCTCTTATTCTCTCTCTCCTCTACGGCTCTCCTCAACTTTTATTTTTTTTATGAACGGAGAGGAAAGCCTTGAAGTTTGCAGATTAACCTTTTGTTGACTGGTTTGATGTTTAAAGAACATAGTGTAGAAAAAGGGTTCTCCTAACCCTTTAGTGCTTGGGTGAGGTTTTTTTTTCTCCAAAAACTTGCTTTTATGCCTTTGCACAACAGAAACTCAACACAAGATGTGATTACACTTTGTTTAAGGGGCCCTATTATGCTTTTTGTTTTTTTTCCCTGTTCTTTAGTTTGTTATATAGGTTTAGTGCATATCAATGGTTTGCAAAGGCTTAAATCACTGTGTCCTTTCCGCCCGCCTGACACGCCTCCATATTACTCGTGCTTCTTTTGGCTAGCACTCCAAAACATTTTACATGATATGCTAAAAGGCGGGGCATCTCTTAGTGTTTGACCAATCACAACAGAGCCGGCCAGCTGACCAATCAGAGCAGACTGGGCTCTGGTGTCAGACAGAGGATGAAAAGAGGTGATGAAGTACAGGCAGTATGAAAACAATAAAGAGCTATTTGAACATTAAAGCATGTAAACATGTCACAGTAGAGACACAACATACAAATAAGAAGCTGAAAATGAGCATTATAAGGCACATTTAACTTCTTGAAGTGATAACACATGAGTTAGTTAGAATATTAAATAAATAATTGATTGTATTGTATATATTAACATACAACCCTAAAGAAATTAATACTTATCTTACATCTGTTTAGAAATATGAAATGCTTATCTGCAGCTTGCGGTCCACCACCAATGCCACATTTCAGCCCTTTGCTCCCCATGTTAGAAACCTGGAGAGCATTGGATATGAAGGCATAATCAAGATGTGGAAAAAAAGATAATTAGGGACTAGAGTAATCACACAAAGATGATAGTCTTTAAAAAGGAAGTTTTCCTTGGCTCAAAATGTTACCACCATGCCAAGACCTACTGCAGCAATAACCGGTGTGAGCACATTTGTGTGTACTTGAAATCCTGTTGGATGAAAATTGCCAAAAGCTAAATGCGCCCATCAGGATCAGAAAAGCAGTAATTTTGAAAAGAAAAAATTGAAAAAAAAAGGCACTTACTGGGTTATAGCCTTGTGAATGTAATAGACTAATGAATACAGTCCAATTTTAGGAAGGCTTGATCGGCAAAGGGAGATTGTATAACATTAACTAATGCATCACATTACTCTTTTTTGTTCAGTTTATTGACAATATTCCGCTCACCTACCATTACAAACACACTTTGGCAGATACTGTTATGCCTTTTTGGTGTTTTCCCTTTCCCGTAGAGTGGTATATAGGTTGTGTGCATGTACATAGTCTGAAAAGGCTATAAAAAAAAGGGAGTTTCTTTCCCAGACACTATCCTCCTTCCTGAGATGCCTCCATTGGACTCCTTTGTTTATCTCCGTAACATATTGACATCACTATGAAACACTTGCGCTCCTATTGGCTAGCACTGCAACATATTGTACGTGATAGACTAAGGGGCGGAAGATAGCAGTTGACCAATCACAACTGAGCTGGCCAGCTAACCAATCAGAGCAGACTGGGCTCTGGTTTCAGACAGAGGGTGAAAAGAGGTGCTGCAGCAAAAGGCAGTATGAAAAAAAGAGCTTTTTGAACATTAAAGCATTGAAACATGTCACAATAGAGGCACAAAATACTAATATGAACATGAACAACAATACACAAGTAAACATGCATATTTTAAATTCTTTCAGGTCACAAGCCCACATATACATTTCATTAAACCTTAGATGTTTCAGAATACACTCAGTTACAATGCAATAGCTGTCCTATAAGGTTATCAATAAACAAATCCCCAACTACAATCAAATGCTTTCCCGTGTTATCCAAGGCT